AGCAGCTGTTGGGATGAGGGACCACTGCATTTTATTGCCTTTGAGCACTATCATAACAAGTCTATTATCCAGTGAAGACAAGGTACAATAGATTCAGCAAATTAAAATACTTGGGATATTAAGAAATATATCTTACTTCCAGTCAAGATGAAGGCATAGGTAGACACACTGTGCCTCCTTGCACAACCAAAATAAGGACAACAATTTAGAAACAAAATAACAACCAAAACTGACAGAAAATTGAACTGTATGGAAGTCTAACAACCAAGGAGTTAAAATAGACACATTCATCCAGATCCGTAGGAAGGGTGGAGTCAGGCAGCCGGGTGGAGAGGGGTTACAGCACAAAAAGCGGTGGCACCGGGCATGCAAGGTAGCAGCTGACAAACCTTGGGTACACAAGATGGCAGCGGGTGGACCCTGGGCACGCAGGCAGCGGCTGGCAGACCCAGAGAGGTGGAAATTGTGAAGTGAGGCACAGCACGCAAGGTGGCTGGCTGACTAGGCAGTCCCACATTTGCACACAGATAAACCTAGCGAAATTGGGCAGTGAGACAGACCACGCAACCCAGGGTCCCAGCTCCCAGAAATAAAGCCTCAAAATACCAATTGAAAAACATGTGTGGGTGTTGAGGCACAGGGAGAGACTCCCAGCCTCACAGGAGAGTTCATTGGAGAGACCCACAGGGTCCTAGAACATACACAAGTCCACCCAAATGGGAATCAGCACCAGAAAGGCCCAGTTTGCTTGGGGGAAGTGGCAAAAGGGACTGAAAGCCAACAGAGAGCAAAGCAAGTGCCATTGTTCCCTCTGGACACCCCCGCAACATATAGTGTCACTACCCAGTGACTGGGTTGCCCTGACCTGGTGAACACCTAAGGCTCCACCACTCATACATAACAGGCATGACAAGACAAAAACAAAACAAAACAACAGAACAAAACATGGCCCAAATGGAAGAACAGATCAAAGTTCCAGAGCAAATTCAACTAAGCAACCAAGAGATAGCCGACCTATCAGATGTGCAGTTCAAAGCACTGGTGATCAGGATGCTCATAGAATTGATCAAATTTGGTTGCAAATTAGATGAAAAAATGGAGGCTACACTAAGTGAAATGAAGGAAAATGCACAGGGAACCAATAGTGATGGAAAGAAAACTGGGATTCAAATCAATGGAGTGGACCAGAAGGAAGAAGGAAACAACCAAATAGAAAAGAAGGAAGAAACAAGAATTCAGAAGAATGAGAAGAGGCTTAGGAACCTCCAGGATATCTTTAAACCTCCCAACATCTGAATTATAGGGGTATCAGAAAGGGAAGAGGAAGAGCAACAAGTGGAAAAGTTATTTGAACAAATAGTAAAGGAGAACTTCCCCAATCTGGCAAAGGAAAGAGACTTCCAGGAAGTCCAGGAAGCTCAGAGAGTCACAAAGAAGGTGAGCCCAAGGAGGAACACACCAAGGCACATCATAATTACATTAGCCAAGATAAAAATGAAGGAGAGAATCCGAGAAGCAGCAAGAGATAAGGAGACAGTAACCTACAAAGGAGTTCCCATCAGATTGTCAGCTAATTTCTCAAAAGAGATCTTGCAGGCAAGAAGGGGCTGGAAAGAAGTATTCCAAGTCATGAAAGGCAAGGACTTACATCCAAGATTGCTCTATCCAGAAAAGCTTTCATTTAGAATGGAAGGGCAGATAAAGTGCTTCTCAGATAAGGTCAAGTTAAAGGAGTTCATCATCACCAAGCCCTTATTATATGAAATGTTAGAAGGACTTATCTAAGAAAAAGAAGATAAAAAACATGTATAGTAAAATGACAGCAAACTCACAATTATTAACAGCCACACCTAAAACAAAAACAAATAGAAAGTAAGCAAACAAGTAGAACAGGAACAGAACCACAGAAATGGAGATCACCTGGAAGGTTAGCAACAGGGGAGTGGGAGGAGGAGAGAGGGGGAAGAGGTACGGAGAATAAGTAACACAGATGGTAGGTAGAAAAGAGACAGGGGGAAGGCAAGAATAGTATGGGAAATGTAGAAGCTAAAGAACTTATGACACATGGACATGAACTAAAGGGGGGAATGTAGGTGGGAGAAGGTGTGCAGGGTGGAGGGGAATGAAGGGGGGAAATTGGACAACTCTAATAGCATCATCAATAAAATATATTTTTAAAAAAAGTTATCTGTTAAAAAAACAGAAATATACATTGACCATGCCCCTAATTTCTTATCTATTTCCAATAACAGCTAGGAAAGAACAGTTGGACCACAATCAGATTCCCATCAAGTTGTAGCTAAAAGAAAGTAGAATGTATGGCTACCATGGCTTGGGGAAGAGAAGTTATTGTTTAATGGATACAGAGTTTCAGTTTTGCAATACAAAAAGTAGGTGGATAGTGGTGATAAAAGCATCAGTGTGAATGGACTCAATGCTGCTGAACTGTGCATTTAAGATGGTAAATTTTATATTATGTGTATTTTACCACATTTTTTAAAAAGGTCATTGTTCCTGAAATATCATCCACCCTTTGAAAATAATGATTATTCAGATTTCATAGCAACATAAATAAAAAAGCTGACGATAGTGTAAACTGTTTTAAACCAAGGCAAAAAAAATTGGTTACTATCATCTATATTCATATATCCTATATCTACTTAGATATCCATATATATACACATATATATACTCAAATGTATATATACACTCCTATATCCATATATATATGTATACACACACATACTCATATAACTGGGTAGAAGACATGAATAGACATTTGCCCAAAGAAGACATACAGATAACCAACAGGTACATGAAAAGATGTTCAATGTCACTAATCATCAGGGAAATGCAAATCAAAACTACAATGAGATACCATCTTACATTTAGTAGACTACATATTATCAAAAAGACAAGAAGTCGTCCTGGCCGGGTGGCTCAGTTGGTTGGAGCATTGTCTCATACACCAAAAGGTTGCAGGTTCGACTTCAGGTCAGAGCACGTATCTGGGTTGTGGGTTTGATCCCTGGTAAGGGAATGTATGGGAGGCAATCAGTATATGTTTCTCTCTCACACTGATGTTTCTTTCTCTTTTCTCTTTTCCTCTCCCTTCCTCTTTTTCTAAAATCAATAAACATGTCCTCGGGGCTGAAGGGTTTTTTTAAAGACAAGAAATAACAAGTTTTGGCAAGGATGTGGAGAAAAGGAAACCCTTGTGCACTGTTGGTAAAAATCTAAGTTGGCATAGCCAATATGGAAAACAGTATGGAGGTCCATCAAAACATTAAAAATCACTAACAATAGAACTGTTATGTGATCCAGCAATACCACTTCTGGGTATTTATCTGAAAAAAAACAAAAACACTAACTCAAAAAAATACATGCACCCATGTTCATTGCAGAATTATTTACAATAACCAAGCTATGGGAACAATCTAAGTGTCCACCAATAGATAAATGGACAAAGAACATGTGATACATATGCTATATATACAATGGCATATTATTCAGCTATAAAAAGAAGGAACTCTTGCTGTTTGTGACAACATAGATGGACCTTTTAGTCATTATGCTACATGGAATAAGTCACATAGAGAAAAATAGAGAAAGACAAATACCATATGACCTTACTTATATGTGGAATCTAAAACAAAACAAACAAATAAACAAAAACCAAGTTCATAGATATGGAAAACTTATTGGTGGTTGCAAGAGCTGTGAGAAGCAAAATGGGTGAAGGTAGTCAAAAGGTACAAACTTGCAGTTATAGAATAAATAAGTCATGGAGATATAATGTACAAAATGGTGGCTATGCTTAATAACACTATATCGCATATTTGAAAGTGGCTAAGAGAGTAAAATCCTCATCACAAGAAAAGAAAATTTTTGTAACTATGTATGTGATATGTGTTAACTAGACTTATTTTGGTGATCATTTCACAATATATACAAATATCAAACCATTATGTTATCCACCTGAAACTAATTTAATGACACATGTCAATTATACCACAATAAAAAATTCTACATTTTTTAAACAAACCTATGGGAAGACTAGCATGAAACACCAAACAGAGGATGTGATACAGACATTTCCCTATTCTTTTCTATATTTTAAAGTTTCATACAAATCCAAACTTTCAGATGAAAAAATGTCTAACATTTAAAAATGTTTAAAGCAAAGCAGATTCCTTCCTTACTATAGGGATTTCTTCACATCATTTTAAATGCCTACTAGACACATGGAAAAATAATACACTGAAGAGTTATTCAGCATTTTTTCATTTATCTACATATATTTATGAGTTCTATTTAAGTACAAGGCACTGTCCTAGATATTGGGGACATGAGGTGAACAAGAAAAAGTCTCTGCCCTCATGGAACTTACTTTCTAAAAGGGAAACAAAGCTAATAAAAAACATAAAAATGACATTGATTATGTTTTGTAAAGAGTTAAAATACTTATTACATTATAGGTAATATAATAAATAATAACATTTTTAGATTGGGCAATCAGGGGAGGCTCAATTGACATGAAATTTGAGCTGACATCTGAATGATAAGAATCAGACTTGAGAAGACAGGTAACAGAGCAAAGCCATGACTCTGAGCAGAAATAAAATGTGTCCAGTTTGGGGAACTGAAAGAGCCATTGTGTCTGGGAAGTACTGGGTGTGGAAGTGGTATGAAGAGAAGACACTGCCCCTTCCTTCAGGAACTTGTGGTGAAATAGAGCTTGGTACAGAATTTCTGATACTTCTCTTTTGGTATAAACCTTCAGAGAACTTCAAATTCATAACAGCTACAGAACAGAAATGTCAACTTTTTAAACAGAATTAAGTCTCCATTTTTTCCTTATAGACAGACTACCTTCCTCATCTGCAATGAAAAGGGATAACATGGCAATGTCAGCCTCAGAGAAGAAACAGGTATTAATGTGTATTCAATAGAACAAGTCCATGCTAAGAAATCCAAATCTTCCCAAACTCAAGGCTTACTTGTCCTTGCCAAATTCAAATTTCCCAGGTCCAATTCGAAGTAGAGATCCATTGAGCCACTTAGGAAAATGTCCTCGGACTTGAGCAGAGATGACCTGTGGAGTCTCCTCTGCTGTGGTCAGTAATGGTGCAATATATGGAAGACTTTCCTGCTTACTGAAGATCGCTTTCGTCTGAGGACTATTTTCTATGTACTTCTTCAAAACTGTGAAGAAGAAATCAAAAACACAAAAAATGTTTACCAATCTTCTATAAATATGCCTATTTCTCCCTGCTGGTCAGGGAAATGTAAACCTAATCCAAATACAGTCTCCGAATTCCTCTTTCTCTTTCCTCATTCTCAGATCAGTTCTTTGGTTCTTCTTTTATTTATTTTTTTAACAACAATCCTTTTTCTATCTTTGCTGTACAAATATATTTAGGAATTAACTCAGGACTTTAATTATTATTATCATTTCTTATCATTGAACAGTACTCATCTTTTCACAAGATGGAATCTAACCCTAGATGTGCTAATACCAACCTCACTGTTATAATAAAAAAAATGACCTTCATTTAACATTATCATAATTATGTTGACCTTAGTACTTTATATACACCAGAATGTGATCCCAAAAATTTCATAGGGATTTATGGAGAGCATTTAATAGGATCTACAATTTAATTTCTTCTATTTCAATGTACACATGAATGTTACATGGCATTTTCTAGAAGGGTGTCATAAATTGAACTATGCAGTGATATGTAGTCTAAAATTACCTGAAGCTCAAAAGCCACAAGAAAAAAATTAATAATTATATAACAAAGACCTGGAAATTGTTCCTATTATTTCACACTTAGTGTTCAAAAGGCAGTATTGCCTCACACAGAGGGGTGGTCAAATATATAACTAATGAGGCACTATAAAATACAGTCATTTATTTTATTTCATAAAACCTTAACAGTGAGATAAAAGTCTAAACTAGAACAACTAAGACATAGAGACACTATTCCTCTAAAGTGAAATTTGCATTTTTTTAGTAAGATATTTTACAGTGTTACTCTGGCTGGCGTAGCTCAGTGGATTGAGCGCGGGCTATGAACCAAAGTGTCGCAGGTTCGATTCCCAGTCAGGGTACATGCCTGGGTTGCAGGCCATGACCCCCAGCAACCCCACATTGATGTTTCTCTCTCTCTCTCTTTCTCCCTCCCTTCCCTCTCTAAAAATGAATAAATAAAATCTTTAAAAGAAAAGATATTTTACAGTGTTATATTTATTACCTCATTTCTTTCAAAAATATAGTTTAAAGTGCATGAGACCTTCTACTTTGCCTTATGTAGCAATTCAGTCAAACTCAACTATTTCCTAACTTCACAAATAAAATTCACTTTTACCCTAAATGCCCTTCCCAATAATCTATCTCCGAGGAAATTTTACCTATTGTTCAAAGTCTATCTCAAACACTACTTTCTTTAAGATGCAGCATAATGTAATGCTTAAGAATGTGGGCCCAAGAAGATCAGGTAGTTAGTATGGAATAATAACATGAAACATACACATAAAAATACAACACAAATATGAGTTAAATACATATCCACTGTTTCAGTGCCCAGCAACCATTTTCCCTCCTGGCAACTGTACCTCTAGGATTTTCCTCTGGTGAGGCACCTCCTCTGCCTCAGTTCCTGTGCTGGGTAAGTAGACTTGACTCCACCTCTAACTACCAGGACTGGACAAATGATGGACCTGGCCAATCAGAGCACAACAACTGCTTTAGTACTCATCATGGTACCCAATCAGAATGAATGATACACAATGAGAAGGAGAAGAAAAAAAAAAAAGAATGTGGGCCCAGCCTCTGCCTGGCTCCAGAATGCTTGGGTTGAAATCTTGCCTACTAATTTTCAAACAAATAGCCTCGAGCAAGACAATTAACCTCTCTGTATACTTCCTCCTTTCTAAAATGGGGATAATGGTAATTCTTATTTTTCCTAAGACTATAAATAATAAGTGAATTAGGTAATGCAAAGATTTAAGAAATTGTGAATATTCAAAAAATCTTAGCTATTATTTATGTAGCTTTAAAAATATGTTCATTGATGTTAGAGAGAGAAGGAGGTAGAGAGAGAAAGAGAGAAAGAGAAACGTGGATGCTGACTGGGCATCGAACTGCCAGACTTTTGGTATATGCAATGATGTTCCAACCAATTGGGCCACACTGGCAAAGGCTATTTATGTAACTTTTAAGGATCAATCCAACAAGATGTAATACATTCTTTCTTTAGATTATGAGGGGGACCCCAAAACCCAGACTTTATTTATAAAAAAATTGTGTTTTCTTACATGTTTAAACTTCAGTCACCTTCAAAGTACTCTCCATTTGATGCAGTACAGCTATTGAGATGTTTTTTCCACAGCTCAAAACAGTTTTTGAACTCATTGATTTCGATACCTTTTAGTGCTTCTGCAATTTTTTTGTTTCATCTCTTTCACATAGGCAAAACATTTCCCTTTGAGGACTTTTTCATCCGAGAAACAAAAAGAGTTGCTAGGGACAAGATAGGGTGAATAGGGAGGGTGGGCTCATGCCATTTTTTGGTAGAAAACTGCTGAACACTCAGCTCAGTGTGGGCAGGTGCACTTGTAAATCACCCATCATGAAATGGGCAAACACACTGAAAGAATCTTCAACAAAAATTCACTAAAGCCTAAAGTAGCCTCTCATGACAATGTCTGCTGGTACTCTGATACAGATGGGTTCCTAGAACACTCACCTAGCAGGGGAAGCATGTACTATAAGAGGCCTACCCAACAGAAGATGATTCTGGGGTTCTTTTGTGTCCCCCTCATATTTATGTATTCAACAAAGTGTTGGGCACCGCTGAGGGTTAAAAAGGTATGACCTTTGACCTTTACTCTTTAATCTCAGCACTGTTCCTTGGTAATCACATCTAGACCCTTAATGTCACCAATTACTTTTTGCAGGTGACTCAACATGTCAAAAGAGAATTCCTCATTATCCCCCTTCCAAATCAATTTCCCACCTGCTAAATCACCTAGCTTCAACATCTCTGTGGGCCTTGAATTCTTCTTCACATTCACTAACAGGTTAAATTCTACTGATTATACCCCCACAAGACTAGAAAGAGGATGCTAGGGGGATGATATAGGATAGCTTGCATAAATTAGTAGGACTCAGAAGTTTGCAAGGGTGCCTGGAGTAAATCCTTTGCAAGAACTTATCCTCTGGCCGGGTAGCTCAGTTGGTTAGAGCATCATCCCATATCCCAAAGTTGTGGGTTTGATCCCCAGTCAGGGCACATACAAGAATCAACCAATGAATGTGTAAAGAGTGGAACAACAAATCAATATCTGTCTATCTGTCTCTCTCTCTCTCTTTCTTTCTCTCAAATCAATAAATAAAACTCTTTTTTTTTTTAATTTACCAGTCCACCTCTCCAGGGCAACCCCACAAGTTTTTCTTCTGGCTTGATCTGTCCTCATCAGAACTGATGCTTCAGTTTTTCTTGCCTATCAGCCAATTCCTTCCTACTGTCCTAATTTAGGCCCTCACAACCTACTGAGGCAGGAGATAATCAGGAAGGAAACTCCAGAGGCCCCGTAGGGCTAAGATAAAAGACATCCATACATGACAAAGACCCCCTAAGACCAGTTGTTCCTGTTTTCTGGAATAACTCTGAATCATGGTGGCTCAAGAATGCACCTGCACAGAAGATGCTACATGACCCCTGATTCATTATAATAGCATTATAATAAATTAACATTGTGAGACTTCCTTCTCAAGTAGCCAATCAAGAAAATCATGGGAGACCACACATGTGCAGTAGCTTTGAAATGCAACTCCTTGTACATGTGCAATAGAAGCCCACCAAAGACTAGCCAGGAAGCTTCTGCCCTATAAGAATAGAATCCCTCCAGCCCACGGGATCAATCTCTGCTCAGAGTTAGCCTGCTCCCATGTTCTGTGGAGTGGACTATCACTGAATAAATCTCTCTTTCTTTATGCTATAAACTCTGTGTGTTCGGTTCAATTCTTTGTCCTTGATCACCAAGGACCTGGTTACCTGTGCCCACCTGTGACACTACTAGATGGTTAGTATCATAGCCTCTTATTTGGAAGGAGAAATCAGATAAAGGAACTGTCTTCTAAACCAGGACTTCCTAAATGGTGGGTCTCTTGATCCCCTTAACCCCTGGGATGGCCAGAGAATCACCTCCTGTTCTAAGCAATTCATTGAAGCTCCAGATTTCATCCAATTTACTCCAGTGTGAGATAAAAAGATTATCATTTTCTATGTGTCCTATGATGTGGAAAGGCTGGGAAGCACTGCTACTAAATCAATCTTCTTAAAGACAGATTTAATTATATCACATACTCCTCCATAAAATCTTTACAAATGACTGACTCCTCACTGTCCACCAAGTAAAGTCTAAACTGCTTGGTCAGGCACTGACGAAGGCACTGTACAATCTCACACCAACCTGCCTGTCCAGTTCTGCCTCTCACTCCAGCGGAGTCTGGACCATTCCCCACTGTCTTCTCTTCTCCTCTCCTCTCCTCATCATAACTGCATCCTTCTCTTCACCTAGCATATTTCTCATATCCTTCAGGTAAAATGCACTTACCTTACTCATCCTTCAAGATCCAGTGCCCTTGTCACCTGTTTTATAAACACAACATTCCTATTTCTTATAGCAAAAACGGATTCTCCTTAGTCTGAACTCACACAGCAACTATTATAGCTCTCTTATGGCACTTTCATATTCTATTCATGCAATAAAGATGAATATACTTCATGATCTCTCCTACCAGGACGCCTTGAGTACAGACAAGGTCTTGATTTTTGCCTTTACCCCAGCACCCAATACATTGACATGCATTGAATTATTGAATTAAATAATTTAAAGTTTATAGCATACATCAGCATGATTTCTCATAGCTCTATATCAGCCCATTTCAAAAAATAAAATCATGAGCACTGGCTGGTGTGGCTCAGTGAATTGGGCACTGGCCTGTGAACCAAAGAGTCACTGGTTTGATTGTCAGTTAGGGCACATGCCTTGGTTGCTGGCCAGGTCCCCAGTAGTGGGTATATGAGAGGCAACCACACAGTGATGTTTCTCTTCCCTTCTCACTCCCTTCCCCCTCTCTAAAAATAAATAAATAAAATATTTTAATAAATAAAAAAATCATGTAACAATAGTGGCTATAATAGAAAGCTTCAAAACAATAAACAGAGTGTTAAGGAAGCTCCTCAAAATGCAAATAGAAGAACCAGATATTTACATCAGAATGTAAAGCAGTGATTTTCAATTGAGAAAGGCCTAAATAGTGAATATTTTTCCTATTGCAAATCTAACAGAATCCCAAAACCCTGAAACCTGCCCTTGTAAGTCGTATAAAATATACAAATGTAAATTTTGTTTCCCTGACGAATAAACAAATCCTGACTGTCTTCTTAAACTCCCAGCTCCGCACTTCCTGCCTGCATCTGCTTCAAAAAGAGTGGAAAGCTTCAGAAGCCCCCAGTATTCTTCAGAAAAGGCATAGAATTATAAGTTCAGACTGGTGGGAAGAGGAGGAGGACAGGACAAATCCCCTACCTGGAATCCGGTGTATCACAGATCGGAAAACTACTGCAACAGTAGAAAGATTGTGGACAAAACGGAGAAAGAGTTGAAAAACCATTTTTGTGTTAAGTAGCAGCAGATCCTGTGATTTCCAGATCCTCACATTCATTAGCAGTGAGGCTAAATAAACTTCCTGGGCAGTCTCTGGCTCACAAACAAAAAATGGAGAGGAGGGATGGGGGATGGGACAGACCAGAGGCTTCAACACACGAGAAATCTCTCTCACTTTCACTTCCATGACAAGTACCCCAACAACCTATCTATAATAAGTAGTGTTTGAAATATCAAATTAAACTACCAACAGTGGTCTCCCTCCCTAAACTCTCCTCATTCAAATCTGTCCTCACACTTCAATTAAGTCAGTTGATTCATGGATGAATTTCCTAATGTTACTCCTCTCCCCTGAAAGATACAGATCTCCTTTCTGTGCAGAATAAAGTCCAAATGTAATCTGTCAACAAAGAACTCTACAACCTGGTCAAAACCTACCTTTAATCTTTTTCTCTCTGCCTTTCTAGCATTTCATTCTTCCTTTTCTTTTCTATTCATTTAATTTACAAAACATTTTCTCACAATCTAGTGTGAATAAGGAGGGTCCTGTGAAGGTATGTTCTTAAAAAATTTTAACCATATATAATTTAATTAATTCAACAAACTTTTTTAGCACCATAGTATCAAATACTGCACTACAAATTGAGAAAACCAAGAAACAAAATTCAGTTCTGATTCTCAAGCAGTTTAGATGATACATTATTCCCCTTTGTGAATTCTCAGTCCAGTGAAATGACTATAAAAGTACCACGTTTTTGTTCTTCTAGCCTTTTGAACAAAACTTTCCCTGCCTGAAATGTTCTCCCTCTTCCTTTTTCAGACAAGATCGGGCACATTTAGGGTGGTATGGCCGTAGACATCCCTCTTCCCTTTTCAAAAACCCATTTGAAAATCTACCTCATTGACCCCTTGCTAAAAAGCCCGACTCCCACTAGGAGTTACTAGCACTGCCACAGAGATTCTTTTAACATGTACATATCATGTCTTCCTAGCAAAGGCACCTAAGTGCAATTTCAAGAAAGGAGTGGTTAAAATTTTCAGAACGGAGAAAAAAGATCATATTAAACCATTCCGTATTTCCCACAGTACCTAGCATAATATAATGTACAAAGATAGTCAATATGTATTTTCATTTGTAATCAATGAAAAATACAAACTTGTGAAATTTTATTGAAATGAAAGAGTGATACTAGAAGTGCAAATTAAAGGGCAATGTAATATTAGAAGTGTAAATTAAAGGGCAAATAAGCCTTAGTTAGGCATTCAAGAACTTCTCTAAGAGGTGACTATTCTGACCAGTAACACTAGGTTTCTGACAGTAAACACATTGTTTCACTAAAAATCAGTTAGTTTTAATCATACCAAATGAAGAGATCAAATTGATTCTCTGAACCTGCACAGGAAGAATCAGATACTAAGCAATGGAGACACCATCAAGATATAAGAAGTATATTATGAAATCCATTCTGAAACAACCTGTTACACTTAGCTTTCATATTAATAATAAATGCTTAGGAAAAAAATAATTCATGAACATTTTAATAGTGGTGGGCCAATAGTGTCATCTTTGTATTTAGAACATTCAAGAACTCTGTAAGGTAAAAGAGTAATTCAAAATCCAGGTGATATGGTATACCACATCAAATATAGTCTTCTGGTTGCATTTAATATTTTAAAACCCCATTTGTAACAGTTACTTGACTGGCCTCTATTAGTGTATCTCTCTACAAACCTAATAATTCTTCCACTTAATAATCAATATGTTTAATAAATATTATTTTACTGTTTGCAGTCCTTTCTTGTATGAGTATTTCATTATGTGTTAGGTATATATGCCTTGAAATAATTTTGTGAAATGAGATTTTACTTCAACATTTAAAAGGCAACAAGACAAACATGCTGTCCACCTGAAGAATACCAAATCCTTGTGGTATTATTTATAAATATGTCCAAATTTGTGATTGCTTACATCAGCAAAATATATTTATTAGATTGAAAAATATATAATACATTGAATTATATATGTGACTTAAAAATGAGTGCTATGGTTTTTAAAATCTGATTAATATAGTTATTACATATAATTATATAACACAGTGAAAATTTTTCAATGAAATCATAACAGTGCCACCTTGGTTGGTGTGGCTTAGTGGATTGAGCGCTGGCCTGTGAACCAAGAGGTCACTGGTTCAATTCCCAGTCAGGGCACATGCTTGGGTTTCAGACCAGGTACCCAGTTGCAGTCGTGCGAGAGGCAACCAATCGATTTATCTTTAACACATTGATGCTTCCCACCCTCTCTTTCTCTCTCCCTTCCCCTCTCTCTAAAAGTAGATAGACAAAATCTTTAAAAACATAAATTTAAAAAAGGAAAATAAAATAAAATAAAAACAGACTACTAAAAAAATCATAGTGAGCCTTCCATCAAAGGGAAGATATTGTTTGCTACATAAATATTAGAGATCCACTAGTCCAAATTCAATTTCTGAATTATAACAGGATTGAAATGATTCATCAAAGTTGCCTTGTTTAGCCAATCTCTTTACTTCTGTTTTATAGTATATTTTATTGTTTATGCTATTATAGTTTTCCCAATTTTTCCCATTTATCCCTCCTCCACCCTGCACCCCCAACCCTCCAGTTTCTCCCCAACTTAGTTCATGTCAATGGGTTGTACATATAAGTTCTTTGAGTTCTCTGTTTCCTATACCACTTTTGACCTTTCCCCATCTATTTAATGCCTACCAATTATGCTTCTTCTTCCTTGTACCTTTTCACCACTATTCCTTCCTTCCCCCTCCCCACAGAAAACCCTCAATGTGATATCCATATCTCTGATTATGTTCGTGCTCTAGCTGTTTGCTTAGTTTTTGTTTTCATTGTTTTTGTTTAGGTTCATTTGTTGAGAGTTGTGAGTCTGCTGTCATTTTACTGTTCATAGTTTTTGATCTTATTCAACTTCTTAGATAAGTCCCTTTAACATTTCATATCATAAGGGCTGGGTGATGATGAACTCCTTTAACTTGACCTTACCGGGGAAGCACTTCATCTGCCCTTACATTCTAAGTGAAAGCTTTGCTGGATAGAGTAATCTTAGATGTAGGTCCTTACCTTTCATCTTTTTAAATACATCTTTCCAGCCCCTTCTTGCCTATAAGGTTTCTTTTGAGAAATCAGCTGATAGTCTAATGGGAACTCCTTTGTAGGTAACTCTTTCTTTTCCTCTTGCTGCTTCTAAGATTCTCTCCTTATCTTTAATCTTGGGTAACTTAATGATAATGTGCCTTGGTGTATCTCTCTTTGGGTCCAACTTCTTTGGGATTCTGAGCTTCCTGGACTTCCTGGAAGACTATTTCCTTTGCTAAACTGGAGAAGTTTTCCTTCACTATTTGTTCAAATAAGTTTGCAATTTCTTGCTGTTGTTCTACTCCTTCTGGCACCCCTATAATTTGGATGTTGGAATGTTTAAAGTTGTCCTGGAGGTTCCTTCATTTTTTTGGATTCTTGTTTCTTCACTCTGTTCCAGTTGGATGTTTATTTCTTCCTTTTGTTGTAAATCATTGATCTGAGTCCTGGTTTCCTTCCTGTCACTGTTGGTTCCCTGAATGTTTCGCTTTATTTCTTTTTGGATATCTTTCATTTGTTCTTTCATTTTTCGACCAAGCTCAATCAGTTCTGTGAGCATTTTAATTGCCAGGGTTTTGAACACTCCATCAAATAGGTTGGCTATCTCCTCCTCATTTAGCTCTCTTTCTGAAGTTTTGCTCTGTTCTTTCATTTTGGCCCTATTTATTTGTTTGGGGGCCCTATTAAGTTGTAAGTTATAATGGGGCAGGGCAACCCTCCTTGCTGTGCTGTGCTGCTGCTTGTAGGGGAGGGGCCAAAGAGGGAACAATGCAGCTCACCTCCTCGTCTCTAGCCCACTTTTCAACAAACTCTAATGTGAAACTGGGAGTTTCTCCCGACGTGGCAAACGCCGTAGTCCACAGCCCACTCTGAGTCTCACTTTCCCCTTAAGTCAGCCCCACCCTCAGCCCTATGCCTTGCCAGTCTGGTTGTTCTGTTTAACCGTTTCTTTAATTCCGTGGTTGTCAGAGTTCCATGTGGTTTGATTTTCTGACACTTCTGGTTGTTTATTGATTTTACCTCCTTTTGGTTATGCAAGGAAGCGAAAGGTTTCTACCTATGCCTCCATCTTGGCCGGAACCTCTTTACTTCTGGACCACTAATTTTATCCCATACCACACAACTGCTACAACTTGTAAGTACAATTCATTAACAACAACATTGATATGGTTGTATAAAAAAGCCAAGTCATATGAGGTTCTGGTTATTTCTGGTTTTTATTTTTACCACAAGAAAATAATTATAAATGAAAAACTTTTATTAATCATGTAAAATAACTAATAGTGAAAATAATCAAATGATAATATTAAATAGAAAGAGGACATATAGTTCATTACATATTGAGAAACTGGACAAATCACCTTTAGGTTGTAATTTTTTATAATACTGACCATGAAAAACATTTCAAAACTATCTCCAAAGCCATCTGCTATTTAAACAAAGTATTTTAATGTATAATATTGTTAAACATTATCAAATTAACTCACTGAGTCCTCTTTTAGAAGTTGAAGGCAAGAGCATTTAAGAAAAAAAAAAGAATCCATATATAATTTAAATAATTTACACTTTTATAAAATACACCAAATATTTGATCCTCCAAAGAAAACCTACATATTCCATATCGATGTCCAGTTTAAAGCCCCCTTCAAATCTAGAAAAGAAATTCAGGGAGTTTCCCCTTCTATGTTTAAGGTACACATTTTCTTTAACAACTTTTAGAGCATATATGTCATTCTTTCATTACAACAATAATGGGTTTAAAGTCTCAGCTTATTTTAAGTACACAATTTTATCTGTGCAATGTGTTTGCAATCACTGTAAATCTCTGTTTCAGAAGCTCTCTTTTTTGTATCAGAAAGTTTTCAATAGTATTGGCTTCTTTGAAGAGTCCATCTATCTCATCAATATAAGATGCATCTACTGCTGCTCTCTCACTAATGGGGAAGAAAGATTTTATGTTAAATTAAATAGTTGAACAGTTATGATATCAAAACACACCATCATAGTGATGTTCTTTATTATCCTATATTTGTTAGTTATTTCATTTAAATAGTTTTGTACATTGGAAAGCTTCTGTTTACAAACACTCTTCAGTGAAACTTAAATTAGTCCCACAAATATTTTGACTACTCAAATTCTCCTGATACAGCAGATACATTATACATTATAATGTATAATATATCTTATACATTATAATTCTAACATCAAAAAATATGCAGTCATGCTTCACTTAACAGTGGGGATATGTTTGGAAAATGCATTGTTAGATGATCTGATTATTGCACAAACATCATAGAGTGCATTTACACAAACCTAGATGGTATATAGCCTAGTACACACTTAGGCTATATGGTATAGTCTATGTTCCTAAGCTGTAAGTCTGTATAACACATTACTATACTGAATACTATAGGCAACTATAACACATAGGAAAGAATTTGTCTAAACATTAAAAAGTTATAGTAAATATAAAGTATAAACATTTTTTAATGGTACACCTGTATAGGGCACTTAGTGTGAATGGAGCTTGCAGGACTGAAAGTTGCTCTGGTTGAGTCAGTGATTGAACGGCAAGTGAATGCAAGGGTCTAGGACATTACTGTACACTGCTGTAGACTTTATAGACACTGGCTCATGAGCAAAAAATGGGGAGGAGGGATGGGGGATGGGACAGATGAGAGGCTTCAAAACATGGGAAATCTCTCTCACTCTCATTTCCATGATAAGTACCCCAACAACCTATCTATAATAAGTAGTGTTTGAAATATGAAATTAAACTACCAACAGTGGTCTCCTTCCCTGAACTCTCTGCATTCAAATCTGTCCTCACACTTCAATTAAGTCAGTTGATTCATGGATGAATTTCCTTATGTTACTCCTCTCCCCTGAAAGATCCACAAAGCGTTCCCTGCTACTTCCTTCTGACAGGGTCAGAAATAGAACACTGAAGGTGTCAACAATGCTCCATGAACAAAAATGCAGGCACACAGACTGAAAATTTGAAGGAGAAACTGGCTGGGTAAGGCATAAATCACCATAACAGTAACTGTCAGAAGGGAGTGAAAGGTAGCCTGAGAATCAGTAAGAACAGAAAAATCAAGAAGGAAAGACAAAGGAACATAGGGGATAGTCATAGTAATGCTGTCTGGCTATTGCATGTTGGAGCAAGTGGTCATATTAAAGAACTTTGTGATATTCAATTTTTTTTTAAAAAAGAGGTTATTTAACATGGAGAGGGTATAGAACTGAGAATTCAATTTTTACTTTGGAAATTTCTTTTTGGTTCCATTGACTTTATCTGGCAAAAACTGACTCTCTCTGGCATTGAACTGGTGGAATACATAAAGTTTATCTATATTTTACATCATTATAACCTGAAAATATTTCCAAATATTTCCAAAGTACAGGGACAGGCTGCCTCTACACTATCACAGAAAGCTTTTACTGAAGTGGCAGTGGCACTTATACTTGTTAAGATAGCTCCTTCAGAACTATGTCATTTTATAGGATCTTAGGTGCTCAACAAATATTTTTATAACAAAGTACTCTTAAGACTATCATCCTATATCTGAGAGGGCTATAGCCCTCTCTGAAAATGTAGCGCTGGGGGAACAGTCTCCTCTGTGCTGAATCAGGTCAGTGCCTGACTATTTAGGTTGTAACCTGTGCACTCAGAACTGAGGTTCCATGAATAAGAGAGAATCTACTGCCAAACCCCACAGATACAATTCCCATCAGAGGAAAACAAAATTCCTCCTGAGCCACATAGCCTTCCATTGCTTAAAGGAAATTCAGCTCCATTAGAATCTATGGGACCACTGTTGTACATGTGATCTGTCATTGACTGAGACATCATTATATGGAGTATGACTACACACTATTTTAACCACCACACAAACCATTATTCAAATGCAATGACTGTACAGTAGTTTTAAAAAACATCTTAAAACTCTGGCTGGTGTGGCTCAGGGGATTGAGTGCTACCCTGAGAACCAAAGAGTCATAGGTTTGATTCCCAGTTAGGGCACATGCCTTGGTTGCAGGACAGGTTCCCTGTGGGGGGTTGTGTGAGAGGCAACCTCATATTGGTATTTCTCTCACTCTCTTTCTTCCTCCCTTCCCCTCTCTCTAAAAATAAAGAAATAAAATCTTTGTTTAAAAAACCCTTATAAAACATGATAATTTTGCATAATAAAATATTAAAATTCATCCTTCAAATATATAGATATTTAAATAGTTCATAAATATATTTATTTTATCTTTAATATCACTCTATTATTATCATTAACTTCATCAAATGGTAGTTTTCTAAAAGAGGTTTTATCATAAAATTTTAAATGTTATATCATCTAATTAGAGACCAAAATATATCCAGCCTAGTATTCATTCCAGGAATAGCAAACAAAGGATATTCAGTGGAAAAGTTGGGGTTATTCTTTGAAAATAACAACTTATTATAAGAAATTGAGGTAGAATTTAAAAATTCCAAAATTATAAAAATTGGATAGGTTCTACAGCCACTGATCTAAAGTTCCCATCATGGAGTTTCCAGAATAAAACTTCTAAAATAAAGTCTCAAGAGAATATACTATAAGTACTTACCTTAAGATCTTTGCATATGTAGACAACATCAGATTAATTTCCTTGCTCATATCTATAAAAAAAATCACTAAGTTAAGTTATGAAATACCACAAACCTTCTGTTTATTATAAAAATAAATATAGAGAAATATAAGCATTGTATATACATCACCATTCAAATCTTTCTCCAGGGCTTCGTCTTTATAAAATAGTCCAGAGCTTTCAGAGAAAGAGGAATCTGATTTTCCAAGAGAGGGCAGTGGCAGACTATCTGGCATTTGAGGCTAATACAAGAAAGTAAAAGAAAACAGGTAAATAGTCAAGAAGATCCTTAGGATATATATTTTCTATTTTTTAAAAGCAAAATAAAACATCTTTCAGAAAAAAGTAAACATGCTAGAAATTATATGATCTTGTATCCTAATTAGTCATTTGAAAGTTTATAACCAAGGAAACTTTTAGTCTCAACAAGCACTTTGTTCAACATACTAACTTTTGTTTTGACTTTTTTATTAGAAATATGGTATTAAGCCCCTGATGAAAAGGTTTCCTATATCTTGAACCAGTAGATGTTTCCATGGCAATATAACAAAACTTTCATTTAGACAGTAGCCAAATGCTTGAAAGTTTTTGCAAGTAATGTAAACTTTAAACAAGCAAATAATGCCCCAAATGCAAACATCAATTGGTGGGGATAGTAGTGAAGAAGGGCAGAATACAGTGTTTTTATTTTAAAAGATCAGCAACTCCAGTACCTAAGTATCCTACTTATTATAGCAAAATAATTATTTAAAGTCCTGGGTATCATAAAGATATGAATTCACTTCTGTCCCTAGATCACAAATTACCACAAAGAAGTCTCCCAACAGTTTCTTGGTAAACTATATATTTAGTATAAAAGCAGCTGGAGTCACCATTGTTCCTGCTGTGACAATCCCAGCTCTGGGAATATGAAAACTTAAATTACATTTATCAACAGAACTTTCTTAACTGGAAGAAATTTGAGAATTACCATGTTTTGCCATGTATAATGTGTACTTTTTGACCAAATTTTTGAGGGAAAAATAAGGATGTACACTATTTTGTACATGGTATGTATAATGATTACATACCATGGGTATAATAATGGGTATGATAATCCTGTGTATAATGCACATAAAACATGGGTGCGCATTATACACGGCAAAGTATGGTGTATATACAAAACAAAATAAAGTAAACCCTGACAACTTATCGATGTCTCTCTCTCTCTCTCTCCCCCCGTCCCTTCTGTTCTAAAAAGAAAATACATAAAATCTTACAGAATCATAAAATAAAATAAAACATTAAGGCTCAGGGAGCATATAAATTACCTCCAACTCTCTTGGTCTCTTACAGTTACCAGTATCAGGTTTTACAAGGTGACTTGCCATCATATTCTGTAGACAAGAGCTGCAAAATTTTGAGCAATGCCAAATTTAAATACCAACTCCATGCTATACAGCTCTCTTAAAATTTTCCCCTTCTGTCCACTCACTGCCACTGCTAATTGAGGCTCTCATTATGTCACTTACCTAAACTACAGTTTTTCCCTTCTCTAATTTATCCTACCAACCGCTGTTTGGGCAGTCTTTCAAAACTCTGATTACCATATTCCCTTAACCTTTCAAAGCTCTAACTACTGCATTCCCTTATCTCAAAAACTTTCCCTTTACTATTCACTGATCCAGAATAAGTTCAAATTCCATACAAAGTCCTATAATACCGAGAGCCAATCTACCATTCCCATGATTTTCCTCTATTGCTTCTATATACAGTCAGCCAAGCTAGTACCTCTGGCGCTACTGCCTTGCATCAGGATTCCTTTAAGATTCTTCTACCATTACAATATCTGAATGTTCAAATAGATATTATTGTTCATCTAAGCCAATCTCATTTTTTCACAGACATGAAAACAGGGGCAGAGTAAGTTGACCAAGTTCAAACAAGTAAAACTGGGACAGCCTAGACCAGATCTTGTCTAGCCTGAAGTCTTCTCCTACCTTCATGTACCATAAAATTTTACTTTTAAATTATTTTTCCATAAAAAATTCTGAAGATAATTTTCCTAGGTGTCTGAAAGATTAAGTTTAAAAAAAAAATGTTGCAAACTAGAATGGTATAGGCTCTACATCTTAAAGAGTAGGAGCCCTGTCTACACTCAAGCTATCAATTAACTTAGCTTGTTGTTGAGAAATTATGCTGATGTCAATAATTTTTTAAAGATTTTATTTATTTATTTTTAGAGAGGGAAGGGAGGGAGACAGAGAGAAAGAGAGAAACATTAATGTGCGGTTGCTGGGGGTCATGGCCTGCAACCCAGGCATGCACCCTGACTGGGAATCGAACCTGCAGCACCTTGGTTCACAGCCCGCGCTCAATCCACTGAGCTACGCCAGCCAGGGTTGATGTCAATTTTACTTAACCTGCTTGATTAGTCACATGTAACATTCATAGACATAAGCTTGTAAAACAAATAGTAACGATGTTTGTTTAGTAAATTCCATATAATTCTTCTACATTCCTGTCAGTACCTTTCTGGTAAATTTAAGTGTCATAATAGTAATACGCAGAGAACACTACACATGCACCGTAGTGCTGGCTTTGCCATGGGAAGTTTGAAAATGTCTCATAGAAACTACCACGAAAGTTTCTCTTCTCCCTTCCCCCTTCCCCCTTTTCTCTCCCCTTTTCCTTTTCCACCTCTTCCCCTCCTCTCAAAAAGTAACTGCATGTGCACAGATGTCAAATATAATTAGGTAATTCTGTTTCTGGGAAAAAAATTATTTCTGTCACAACATACGGCCTTACATGAATCCAGGCCTGGTCAAGAGCCTGGGCCTTGTCCTGTAACAAACACCATTCAGAGCCACTGACATCAGCTGTGCAATCCACGGCTTCAATAACGTCATCACTATCAAGCTCGACCCCTTTGCCTTATACAATTTTTCCCCTAGTCTTCTCTTTCTCCTCAATGCCACCTCAACTCTCAGGCCATTTCACTTACCTTGTTTCTCATTTCCCACCACCACCCCCCTCCCTGCCTTTCCTCCCTACTGGTGAGTCAGCCCCACTACAGACACTAAGAGGAAGCCTTCACCCTCGCCCACTGTTTTCTTTCACACTCGCACAGTCATCCCGCCGGCCCCAACCCAAAACCAGTCTACCGCCCGCTGTGCTCAAGACCTCTCCGCCTCAGCGAACGCGCGGGAATGAAGAAGCCAGCTGCGTGCTAGTGCGCAGGCGCAGGCGCAGCCGGCGCCGTAGACGCTGCGGGCGTGGGCGGCCGAGGGTAGCCGTGGTTGTTCCCGCACACAGCAAGTGCTAAGCACGTGAGGGAGCCGAAGCAGCCACCGCCTCCTGGAGCCCAGCCGGGTGTCCCGTCCCAGTCCTCAGCGCGCTGTGACAGAAAGGCGGCTTTTTTCCGCTTCTCTCTCACTCGTCCCTTCGATTTGGAATCTACGTGAAACAAAACTTTCTCCCTGCCTCCCAGCGTGTGTTTGGGGAAGAAGAGGAAAAGTCTAAGACTCGTTTCTCCAGAAAGAACGTGGAAGAATTGCCAGAGCAAGACTAGATTGTGTCCCAGAATATCATTTTGGAATCTCAGAAAAGGAACACAGAATAGTACACCACTCCCACTTTTATGTCCTATTCCACATGGTTTGTGTGATGGAAGGGTTTATACATGAATCCCCCTGCTCTGCAAGCAAGCCAGACTTCAAGATCAGAGCCTCCCCCCTTGACTGCTTTTTTCTTTGGCACAACCAAACTTTGAGAATCATGCCCTTTTAGAAAATTACTTTCCTGATATGCCAATGAGTTTAGTCCACTTAATTGACAGCATTCATGAAACATTTTGTAACACACATGATCTGCATACTTGAAGCTTAGCCTATTGGGTGCTTTAATGTGGCGACTTTGACCTGTAATTTCAGAGGTAGACATTCAAACTTATGCCCAGTTAAATGATATGGAAAGAAAAAAGGATATCAGCTCATAAAACAAAGGTCAATAACACCCACCCCCATAAATTCCAGGTAGCCTGTCTTACACCTGTGAAAATTTATTACCCATACCTTAACCTAGACTAATAGGAAGGACTTATAGGAGAAGCTCACACCCTATGTCTCAAAAAGTCCTATGGGAAGAGCTTTATGTGTTACAAGAGAACTCGTGGTTGTAACAGCCCCTCCAATTAACTTTTCCCTTCTATAAAGTACCTCCTTTATCCAGGCATGAATCTCCACATGGTTGGCCATATCTGCACGTTTTGTATTGTGACCTTTCTTTTCCTGAATAGATACTTTTCTGTAAGGGAATACCTACTCCACTTTTGCTTACAATTGACACACCTTAGGAAATTATATTTAACATATAAAATTTAACGTTTTTCTTTCTTGGTTTATTTATTAGAGAGAGGGGAAGGGAAGGAGAAAAAGAGGAAGAGAAACATTAATTGGTTGCCACTCATATGTGCCCCAGCTGGTGCCAGCCCACACCCCAGGCATGTGCCTTGACGCCAGAATCCCACCAGCGACCTTTCACTTTGAGGGTCAGCCCAGCCAACTGAGCTACACTAGTCAGAGCTCCTTTGGCTTATTTAAATGCTAGTTGTCATACAGACTTGTAAGTGTTGTGTGTATATGTTTATTTATTGGCTGTTTGTGAAAAAGCCAATTGTTTTAAATAAGTTCCTAGAAAACACATGCTCAATTTGTTTAACTTTATTTGCTAATGTTGTGACCTATCAATCACATGATAAAACTAAGCTAGATGACTATGGTGCAGTTATTGACAGTCTTTAAAGGATGTCAATCTATGTTGAATTTTCCCCATCTGTGCTAAAGTGAGGGAAAAAGTAATGAAAATTCCATAAAGCTAATGTGTTTTTTTAAAATGTCATTTATTCTGATACTATGTCCTAAATTTTTTTGGTGTTAAAGTGTCCTTTCATGAAATAAAAATATAAAGATGTTTAGATTTGTAATGTCCTTAGTAAAATATAAAGTTGTCCATTCAGTGTTTACGTAGTCCTTATTATCACCATTATTGGTATTATTTTTATGGTCATTAAATTCCAAAGTGTGTAAAATACTGATCTAATTCCTCTCCCAGCCTTCACAGGGAGTTATCCAGTTTTTAAAATATTTCCAGGAAGCCCTGGCTGGCGTAGCTCAGTGGATTGAGCTCGGGCTGTGAACTAAAGTGTCACAGGTTTGATTCCCAGTCAGGGTACATGCCTGGGTTGCAGGCCATGACCCCCAGCAACCACACATTGATATTTCTCTCCATCTCTCTTTCTCCCTCCCTTTCCTCTAAAAATAAAAATAAATAAAATCTTTAAAAAAATAGTATTTAAAAAAATCTTATCTAAATAGTATAAGCTAAATGAGTAAAAAACAAGTGAGAGGGTGAATAGCATTATTGCCGTCTAGTGCTTTAAAATATTCAGCCCTGGCTGATGTGACCAGTGGATTGAGTGCCAGCCTGCAAAGCAAAGGGTCACAGGTTCAATTCCCAGTCAGCACATGCCTGGATTGTGGGCCAGGTCCCAGGATGCAGGACATGAGAGGCAACCACACATTGATGATTCTCTTCCTCTCTTTCTCCCTCCCTCCCCTTCTTTCTAAAAATAAATAAATAAAATCTTTAAAATAAAATAAAATATTCAAAGAATGCCCTCACCATTGATTGGATATCATCCTGTTAGGTCTAGGATCCACAGCAAACCAAGGCCGGGAAGGGGAGGGAGACATGTCTCACCCACTAACTCAGCAGTCCTGAGCCTGATCTGATAATATTGCCAGGTGTTCCAGCATCACAGGAAACACCATGCTTACACGGGAGGAGGGGAGTCCTTGAAATTCTGTGTATCGATTCCACTATCTGGGGAAGAATCTATACACTGTGTTTTTATCCCAAAGCCTGCAGGAGAGAGTCCTCAGCACTCAAAGAAGGGGCCCATAAAACAGCTTTGGTTAATTGCCTACCTATCCGTTTTATCAGCGAGTCCCTAGTGCTTACAGAAAAAGCCCATAAATAACTTTGGGTAACTGCCTCAACTTTAATTAACTGCCTCCTGTTATGTATCTGATTTACAACAAGATGAACAAATGGGGTCTGGAGCAAGATAAGAATTGGAGCTAACAGACCCCCACACATACCTAAATTCCGGTAGTCACATCCCCCAGGGAAAGCTGGCACCACCTTTACCTGTCAATCAATATGTGGCTTCTTTACCCGCATTGTGCCAACTATGTAAGTCCCCAAGACAAAGGACCTGATGGCTTTGGCCACTCTTACCTTGCCCTGCCCTGAACCTATGCCTTTCAACCCCCACCTAGCTAGGCTTGTTTTCTTCTGTGAGAATTTATCACTAATAAATCCTGCTTACATAATAATAAATTTGCTGATCTGTAATTTTTACTGTGTCTGCAAGAAGAACTGAGTTTCTCCTGCAACAATCCCGCAAAACAAAAGGGTGATTGTTCAGTTCCCAGTCAGGGCACATGCCTGGGTTGTGGTTCTGTCCCTGTCCCTGTGTATGTGTGTTTGTGTGTGTGTGTGAGAGAGGCAACCCATAGATGTTTCTCTCCTTCTCTTACTCCTTTCCTTCCCTTCTAAAAGTAAATAAATGAAATCTCTAAAAAAATTCAAAGAGCTATCATCGGCCTCATTTAATCTTAAATGTCCCTATGAAGTAGGCAGCACATAGAGACATTTGGGTTACTCTATATCAAAGAAAAAATTGTGTCCCAAAACTAAGAAATGTGTTAAGTTATGCATTCTATGTCTTTACAGTGGGAGAACTACAATTGGCAAAATGCCATTTAAAATTAAACTTGTTTGGTCCTCTGCTACTGACCACTATTTGACACCACCTCATGCTTTCATGTTATTGGCCTGATTGGACATTACAGCTGGAGAATGAAAACTTATTTCAACTTCAATCGTATGTGTATTCTTTTACACTTCTTAATGTGCTATGTTTTACTTCTGATAATCACCATACCAAGCACCTCCAGCCATCCTGCCACAGACTTCCTTTGTAATCACTACTGTGGATATAATATTTTATGTTATATTATATTTTATAATATAATATTTTATATTATATAAAAGTATGATATAACTTTTATATAACTCATATAACTTTTATATGATAAAAGTATGATATAAAAATATTTGACCTTACATATGACCTTATAAAATGAAAACACTCTTGTTAAAAACAAAACAAAAATATTTGAACTAGCTGGTAATGTAAGCATTATGTTTTGTAACTCTAAAACCCCTGTATTCCCATACAGTCTCTGTACTGGCAATGAAACAAAAACCAAAAGTCACCTTACTAATTACCTTTCTAGCAAGGTAGTACAACTTAGCACATACTTAAGAGAAAATTATCTAAAAAACTTTGTTTCTACTGTTTTCAAGCCTGTGATATTTACACTCTGCTTTCCAAAAGTTATGTTTTAGGTATTAAAATTACATTAACTATTTTAATAGGGCTAATTATTCAGCACTAGATAAGAAAATTAGATAAGAAAGTTTTGTGCTTAAGTATGAGTTGAAAATCTCAAACAGATTAATGTGAAAAAGATGCTTTTAATTGAGCAAGCAGGTGCTCTTTTTAAAGTTGCTTGGATGTGCTTCTGAAAGAGGTACAAACTTTGGACAATCAGAACTCCAACTTTTACACAGGAAATTATTTCATTAAAATACTGATTTTACATTAAAGAAATACGCATGTTTTCTGACAATTTAAAGTTCTATTGCCTTAAGAAAGAGCTCCTGTTTGAAGGCGGGCCCCTGGCGTGCCAAGAAGTCTCCTCCTCCCTCCATTTCTTCCTTCTTCTGCCGAGCTGTCTGCATTCCTGCTTCGGACGCTGAAGGGCTGTCACCTTCCCCTGTCTCCACAGCCTCAGAAAAAGAAAAGAGACCTCAACCTTTCCACATCACTTTTTCTTCTAGGAAACTATTGAGCACAGGTAAGAAATATCATTGCTCTTTATTTGGAAACCAAAGCATGGTGATTAGAGGTAAACAAGCTAGAAAAGCGACTGAGAGAAATTTAAGTCGTCTGACATCACTATGATAGGCAATCAAGTCAGAGTAGAAACTTGTTCTCTCTTTTAGCCAACTTTGGAGAACACCATTTTAGAGCAAATATTCTCAAACTTTTTTCTCATGACTTCTTTACATATCTAAAAATTATTGAAGACCTTGAAAAATTTTTGTTTCTCTAGGTTATTTACTCTATTACTGTCACTTACTATTTGAAATTAGAACTGAGAAATTTTAATAATAGCGACCTATTATTTATTTTAAAAATAATAATAAGTACATCATATGTTAAAATAAATTACATTTTAATTATAGATCCACAAAAAAACCTGTGAAGGGTGACATTGCTTTTTATTTTCACAAATCTTTTTAATGTCTGGCTTAATAGAAGATAGCTGCATTCTCATCTGCATCTGATTCAGTCTATGTAATATCACACAGAATGCAGCCTCTGGTAAACTCCAGTGTGTACCCATGAGAGAATGAGAATGAAAGAGACAGATTACATCTTAAAATTACTATGACAATAGCTTTGACTTTGTGAACTCCCTGAGTACTACTGCTTTGGAATGATAAAATAAATAAGCTTTTCTTTAAAGGGAGTCTCAACTCTGAATCACTTACTTTAAAAACAAACAAAAATTTGCCAAAGGTTGATAATTTTAGTGTAATCTGCATCATCACCTTAGTCTCGGCTACAGTTGGGTAATATTACTGCATTCCCCAGGAGAATCTCACAATAAGAAGGGGGCTGTATCTGTTTTGAAGTATGAATAACAAAAATTAGAACACTCTTAAAGTCCTCTTTTCCTTTTGCCTATGTCTAGCTATTTCAAGTTCTATTAAATCTTCCTTTAAAATTTCTTTTTAATTCTGATTTATTCATATAATACCTATATGAATACTATGAATTCTTACTTAAATTTCTACATGAATTCTTATAGTAGTTTCATAACATGTCTCTAATTTATTCCATATAGCACTGTCAGCTCAGTGACCTGCTTTCTAATTGCTGATGAGATTAAATTCAAATGCTTCTACATGACTTGCAAAGCTCTCCATAATATAACCCCACCCTTCCTTGTGTTCACAGCAGGTAGCAGGATTGCTTCGATACAATAAAAAATATGGCCCCACTCAGTACCCCCCCAACACCACATCGTTGTTTTTGTTACCCCATAAATGTGTTTAAACTTTGAGCATTCTTTAAGATTAAATTTAATTTTCCTTTCAAACAAGGCCATTTCAATTATTTCAGTTCTGTTTTGGCTTTTTGTTTTTAGTCTATATTTGGCAGTTAATTATGTATCTTTTATTATTCATGATTTATCTAAGTATTTACCTAGATTTCTACCCACACCTCCACCACACCACACTCACACACATACATAAATAAGATGACAAATTTTTCTAGGACAAAATAATTTACAGAACTTAAAAGTTGGGTTTTGAATCTTATTCAAGCTGACTACATATCTGATTTCAGGGAATTAGGTAATGTGGTTCCTCATTTAATTCCATATTATTCCACAGAATTGGAATTCCGCAGCAAGGTTAAACATAATTACAGTTGCTTTTCAAGTTCAAGGCATTCTTACTTTTGACCTACTAGCATGGTTTTAAACTCCTACTAGCTTAACAATGGCGGTTATATAATAAATATTCAATAAATATATGTTGTTTTAGAATTATGAGGAAGTAGTTACTAGGGCATTTGCCACAAATAAATGGTTGTTTCCTTGCAATCTTATCTAGAATCTAGAATTAAAGAATGCTTGTGCTGGAAAGGACCTTAAAGATTGACTATTCAACTCTCTGCTTATCCAAATAAGAAGATTGACACCCTCAGAATTAAATGACTGGCACCAGATAAGTTTGGAACACATGTGGCCTAATTTTCATCATGATTTTCTACCATCCATTAACCTCTAGGTAGTTTCCAAGGCTTGAATAACATAACTTGTTGCTGTCGTTGTTGTTGTTTCAAAGAACTAATTATCCCTGCATATTCTTAGGAGGATCTTTCTGAGGTGGTTTATAACTCTTTAAAAAAAGAGTCAATAACCTTAGTATCTTACATGAAATACTTTTAAGCATTTTTATCCAATGGAAACTATAATTTTTAAAGATTAGAGTTGAGAAAGCAAAGGAATACAGATGAGAAAGGAAAAGGAAAACTGGAGGAAGGAAGTGGAAGGGGACATAATACTTGTAATCATAGGTGTATTAAGATTTAACAAAAAGAGTGGTAGCCTGGCTGGCGTAGTTCAGTGGATTGAGCGCAGGCTGCGAACCAAAGTGTCACAGGTTCGATTCCCAGTCAGGGTACATGCCTGGGTTGCAGGCCATGACCTCCAGCAACCGCACATTGATGTTTCTCTCTGTCTCTCTTTCTCCCTCCCCTCCCTCTCTAAAAAATAAATAAATAAAATCTTTAAAAAAAAGATTTAACAAAAAGAGTGGTAAGAGATGAAGGAATTCAAAATCAACACATCCAGTAAAGAGAAATTACCGGGGAAAAAAAGAAGAGGAAGAATATTAGGGAAATTATTCTATTTTTTAATATGTTTTCAGACTTACCCCCTTTTTCTTTTTCTCATTGGCTTTAAGATGGAAAGTTTTAAGACAGAAAAAAACTCTACTAGCCCTTTATACATTGTTGTCATGATGACTACTGTGTACAAGTTCTTTTCAGGTGTTGAAGATTTTTTTTAAAGGACAAATTGTCTTAAAGAAATTCACTTTAAAGCTGGGCAGAACTACTTGTCATCAAAACAATCTTAATTCACTGTAAAATCTATTTCAGAAGACTGAGTGGGGAGAGTTGAGGGAGGTAGGTACCGAGAATGATTAACTAGAAATGTAGGAGTCAGGGAGGTTTTCCTAGAGATGTTTGAGCTGGGATTTAAAGGATGAAGGAGGGCTTGGCGGGCAGTTAGTAGGGAAAGTTCCAGTCTTGGGTGGTGGGGGGCGGGGCGCGGCGGGGCAGGAATAACTGGCAACAATTATATAGTGGGGGAGAGTCTGGATGCAAGAAAAGTGAGGAGTATTAAAGTGGAAGATGCATAAGTGATGAGAGCTTCATTTAAAACAGTGCTGGTGGAGATGGAGAGGTTATACCAAATTATAAAGACATTTCTGAGCTATAATCTACAGTATTTATGAGGCAGAGAAAAGGTTAGTCAAAAAAGTCAAGAAGGGCTTCCAGGTTTCAGTTTTGAACAAGTCATTTGGACATGTTTGGGAAAGTAATTTATTAGTACAATATATCTTACAGTTGGACTGAATCTGGAGCTGGAAATTGGCATTTACAAGTTATGCACCTCGCAGTAACTACCACCTTCTCTCTTTACTTTATCGCCAAACTTCCTAAAAGAATAGTTTGTATTTACTGTCTATACTTTTTCCCCACCCCATACTGTCCTAGATCTTTGTCAACCAGCCTTTTGCTACCTCTGCTTTCCCCAAATTTTTCTGCAGACACCAAAACTTCCTAATTGTCAAGTTCAATGAACAAGTTTAAGCTTGTATCTAAGTTTGGGGTCTGCGGTATCTGATTTCAAGCAGCCCCCTCCCTGATGCTCCTTTCTCCCCTGACTTCTCTGACATTTCTCTCTTAGTTTTATAAAACTGAGCCAATTATTTTCCACTCCAGTCTCTCTGTCATTCCCTCTTTCTTTAATGATGTAACACTCAACCGATTGCTCAAGTGAGAAACTTTGAAGTCATCCTGTTTCTCCTTCTTCCATTTGACCCACTGCCAATCAGTTAAAAAATCCCGCTGTCTAATCTCTTTTGAAACCATCCCCTCCCTTTCATCCCCCCAGCAACCACCTTAGTGTATATAGCCTCATCAACTCTCACCGTAACTGCTTTGGTTTGTTTGTCTTAACTGTTAAAATTGCTTCTAAGGTTGTTTTCTAGCCTTTGTCCAGTTTTCCTCCATCAAATCTATTTTCTACATTGCTGCCAGATTATTGACTTTTTAAAACATAAATTTGACCACATTTTTCTCCTACTTAAAGTAAGGCAGTATTTTCAGAAAAAAATTGCAAACTCTTTAACCTAATTAAGCAGGATAATCTGACTCTTCTTTACAAGTTTTGTCAAACCAAATTTCATTGCAAGTTGCTTTTTATGTAACTTGAATTAGGCAGAATCAAACAAATGTAATATAAAAATAATAGTCTCACTTTAAGGCGAATTAGTGATGCAAATTAGTTTATCTAAAATGGCATGATTTCACAGTGGTAAGCCAAGTGAGCTGTGCACTGTGACACTACTGCTACATGGAAGTGTCTCTTCTGCCTGGTAGAATGGGCTGCTGCCATGTCAGTATTATGTGATCAAGGCTACTCTTCAAATATCTCAGAAATTCTTGAGACATACAGGTATTGTGCTGTTAATTTTTTAACATTCACAACTATTATAATTTTAAATGTTTTTATATCTGAAAATGATGTTATCAAAGTGCTAAGGGGTATTGTTACTGCTTGTGCTGAAAAACAAAGAAATCAAGTGGTACGAAATTTAGGTGCAAGTAAACAATATTAAGAAGACCAAAGCATCATGATGATTGCTGTGTAGAGAGAACACTCTGCAAGATATTAGTAAAAATGCCAAGAAAGTTCAAAAAAGAAAGAAAGAAAACACTTTGGTTGTATATTTATGGACTCCAATGATATCTTCTCACAAACTTTTATATTTATTCCCAAGAAAAAGTTAATTTTGAACTATGGTAAGATGTTCAGAAACACATTCTTTCTGTAAAATCTGACTGCATTTGCTTTAATTATGGTAAAAATAGTGAGGCTCCAAACGAGCCATGTTCTCTCAGCCTCCTAGCTTCTGCTTACATTGTTCTCTCCTCGTGGAATGCCCGCCCCCCACACATACACCCACACCCCGCCTTGAAAATGCCTGCCTCTCTTTCAAGGCAGTACAATCATCTTTTCCTCAAAGAAGCCTTCTTCAACACCACCAGGCAGAGAGGATCTCTTGTAAAGCCAATGGTTACAACATTTATTATACTATTTTGTATACTATTGATTATATACTTATCTCTCTCACTAAACTCTGAGTAATTGGAGGGTAAGAACTAAGTCTCCTGCATATGTGTTTTGTCAGCTTTCTAGCCCCATGCCTGATATGTAGTGGATACTCAACAGTGAATAGATGAATGAATTCAAATATTGTGTATTATTATTATTATTTTTAAGGTAATTTTGTCCTCTAAATCCATTTACTCTTTGACTAACTAAATACTGTAGTAAACACTATTAATTTTATCCAATTCTTACACATACTACTTAGTACTTTTCAGATAAATTACTTTCATAAAATATGTGTGCACTACATATTAAAGTTTATAGAGAAGACTGCCCTAGACATTATTTCCCCAGCTTTATACATATATGTTTGTATATTATATATCTACAATTTAATAACTATCCACATTTGTATGAGTGTAAGCAACTGCACCTAGATATAACTGTTAAATAGCCACCAACTAACAAGTATTATGGGTCAGCTTAATTTAGACTAAGTTTTTGAAACTGGGTTTTAATTTCCTGATCCCTCTGCCACATATATTTGGCCTTAGCAGTCTATGCTAGAAAAATTTGAGTCAGTTGTCTACCTATGAGCATAAACTTATAAATACCCCTGTGTACATCAACGACAATTGTGACTCAACCACCTTTGGAACCCCAACCATAACTGCTCTCAGGGATGCAAGGTACTCCTGAGCTCTAGAATAGGGCTTCCTAATCATTCCTGTGGCATAGACCCCCAGGGCAATCTGATAGTCTGTGGGCCACTTCTCAGATCAGGTTTTTACCTTCATAAAATTAAATACCTAGGAATATAAAGGAAACTCATTATGTTAAAATAGCACTGTCAAAAAATTTTTAACAAATTTTGGTATAGTACATATGTGCCTTTTTAGTAATACATTAAATAACAAGATCTATTGGTGAGACTAATAACTTCCGTATATTTCTAAGGAGGAATGAGTTTAAACCATGTATTTCAAGATCTCTGCAACCATTACAACATAATAGGAAATCTGTATTTCTACTAGTAACAGTTACTACTATTATAATAACACTGTGGTTTGTTTCCTATAACATAATGAAAGGGACTGTTAAACTTTAATTAGAAGAAAATAAATATAGAGTGGGGCAAAAGTAGGTTTACAGTTGTGATGACATGAAATGCAGTTTATTCTTGTATTATTTAATTACTGTATTATTTTCCATATCAACAACTGTAAACCTACTTTTGCTCTACCCATATGTAATTTTTTTCCCAGCCAATTTCACAAATTTCCTAGATTTAGAAACCTTGTTCCATAGGCAAAGGTCTAAAAGGTCTCACTCCAGTCGTCATATTGGAGTGAGGTGGGTAGGCTGGGGCAGAAGAGAAAAGCAAAAAGAAGAATTTTTGACATTTTTCAAATCCTATATTATTTGATTTTTTAACAGAAATATTACATTTATGTATTGCTTGTATAAAAGGCATAATATCCAGATTCCAGTAAAAAAAACTGCTGCTGCCCAAGGAGAAAGAGTGCCCTCAGATGCCAGAGCCCTTTGGCCTCCTTCTACTTGCCGCCACTCCCAGGTGGAAGCACCATTTTTACCATCATCTCACCTTTAGCACTTTGGTAACCAACCTTTGCTTTGTCACACACAGGAACCCACTGGTTGTAAGACAGATAGAACCAATCTGCAGTTAAAGGACAGGATTAGGTATGTTTCTGGTATATTGATAATATATTCAGTTCAATAATAGGGCAATAATTCAGTTCAATAATGGGCCACTTATCCACCCTTCGTAACATTGTTTAATGAGAAAATGCTTTCTAGATTCCAAATATCTGATGGTGTGCAAGAGAACATTTGAACACGTGTATTGATAAGATAAAGACTCCCATCATTTATTAAATGTCCAGAGTGTTCATCAGCATACTGGGTGATAGACTGACTTGTGAGTTTGGAGGTAGTATAAGGCAGTAGGGAGAAAAAATCCCTTTTGTGTAAGAGGAACAATCACTATCTTTTAACAGATGACTCTTTGCTTTCATCAGGAATAGAGATGGCTGCTGAACCAGTAGAAGACAATTGCATCAACTTTGTGGAAATGAAATTTATTGACAACACACTTTACTTTGTAGGTAAGTCCAAAGCAATAGGCCAAATACAGAGTTCAGATAAATGTATTCAGCTAGAAAAAATGTTGTGAGATGAACTATTAAGTGACTCCTTACTGTCATCAAATTCTACTCTAATGCTAATGATATTCTTGTCTGAAAAAAAAAGGTATTGGACTTCTGGAAATGAACCATAATATACCAAAGGCCCCAGCACCTTGTCCTACCACATGACCTGGCACTTTCATTAGCAGTAGCCCACTTACAAGGTGGCAGCAAGCATATATCACGTAAATTCCACAAAACTGGGTACATTCAGAGAATACAATTTCCCAAAGCAAAGTGGCAAACTATATAAGAGACACCTTAAATCTAGAGCTCTGTGAGTTAGATATACCATGTAATGTAAATATATTTGACAAATACAAACAGATTTTTATGATTAGTCTTTCACAGGCTATTTGGCTTCATTTGAAAGCTTCAAAGAAAATCCTGAGACAACCTTCCATTGAAGCAATAAATTGCAGAGTGAAATCTATCACTTTATAAAATTTCTTTTTAGCTACAGATTTTTATTTATAAACCCCAGATTTAGGTTTCATATCTAACTTACCAGAGAATACACTAAGTCTAACGAGCTTCATTTTATGGGACATTATGGATGATTATATAATATTTCTGATGAGGCCACCAACAAAGGCCATCACCAGTAAGACAGGAGTTAAAGATTGGGGAGTGGCAGAAAAGAGTAACAAAAGGTAGGGTGAGAGGAGATTCTGAGTTCAAATAAGAAATTAACATTTTGTTTCTCTTTTTTTTTCCCTTTAGCCGAAGATGATGGTAAAGTATAAATTCATTTCTCTTTCTTTGCAAAAGTAAAAGTAGCTACCTGAGTAAGCATCCCACAGGCACATCCATATCACCATTCTCAGCTGCAAGAAACTGGTACCAATCTATTTGAGAAGCTAATCTTCCCTCAAAGGAATGTGGAGCCAATAGCACAGCCTTGGAATAAAGCTGACCATAAAGGATACAAAAAAGAACCTCTAGCAAAATTGCTTCTTTAGCCCTGACCAGTGTGGCTCAGTTGGTTGGGTGTCAGCCTGCAAAGTGAAAGGTTGCCCGTTCAGTTCCTGATCAGGGCACATGCCTGGGTTGTGGGTTCCATCCCTGGTCAGGGCATGTGCGAGATGGAACTGATGTTTCTCTCCCACATCAATGTTTCTCTCCCTCTGTTTCTCCCTCCCATCACTGCTCTCTAAAAATGAATAAATAAAATCTTTTTAAAAATTGCTTCTCTACACATTAGCAAATTCTCCAGTTCTTAGAATCCACGAAGCGGATGTTGCTTGTTATATAGATTTTGAGGTTAGCAAGACGTCATGGATTCTCTAGAGTACATAGGAAGAGGGGTTAAAACATGAGAACTGTAGGCCAAAATCAAGAACATCTTCAATCCTCTCTCTCAAAAACGCTTTGGGAAGAAGCCTGGGAGGATCCCAGGGAAATAAAATTTTCAAAGTTGAGAAAGTAGGGAAAGTTGGAGCAAGCAAGAACTATGAGTTTGAATCATTAAGTCTTCTTAAGAGGTGGATGTACCCAGCCCTTGTCCTTTGGACATTCAGGAAGGATCTAAGCCACATCTAGCCTGCCATCCACTAACACACAGATGGCAAACACAAGGCCCATGGGCTGAATCTGGTCCTCCACCTTGTTTTATCTGGCCTGGCACCTTGTTTCTATGTGGCAACAGCACTGAGCTCTTGCTTAACTGTTAAGAAGTAGATACATTTGTACAGCCCTAAAAGTACATTCGGCCCTTTGAAGGCAACTTCGAGGCTGATGTGGCCCCCGGTGAAAATGAGTTTGACACCCCTGCTCTAACAGATGCCCAGATTCTTAAAGGTCATTAGTTTCTCACACTTTGCCTTAAAAATAACCCTTCTTTATTTTAAGGTGATTCTCACTGGCCTAGAAATAGAAAAGAGTAACTTTTTAAAAAATAGTATTCATGTTTTTTTGGTCCAGCTTTATTGAGATATAATGACATGTAACTCTTCATGTTTCTTAAAGATGGCCCTACTCTCCATTTATTAATTCAGTATATACAGGGTGGGGTTTACAGTTGTTCATATGGAAAATAATATAATAATTAACCAATAATAATATAAGAATAAACTCTGTTTCATGTACTCTCAACTGTAAACCTACTTTTGCCCCACCCTGTACTGGCATTTACCTCTCAGGCATTGTTCCCCTCTGTGAGCATACAGTTGTAAGCAAAACACATTTCCCATAGGGAAGCAGGCACTTAAGGGAGGCAATTGGAATGTGGTAAGTTAAGGCTCAGATGCTGGGGGAGCATGTGGAAGGGGCACCTACTTCAGTCCAGTAGATTCTGGGAGGGCACTTTAAAAGAGGGATATATTTGAAGAGTGAGTAGGAGTTAGCCAAGAGAGAATATTCTGGGCAGAGAGAAAACCACATGCAAAGGTCAAGATATGAAAGAAAGCATGGCATGTATGAGGAATCAAAGGTATTTCAGGCCCTGAGTGGTTTGGCTTGGTTGATTGGAGCATTGTCCCACAGACCAAAAAGGTTGGGGGTGTGATTCCTGATCGGGCACATGCCTAGGTTGTGGGTTTGTCCCTCCATACGCGAGGTAGCTGATGATGTTTCTCTCCCTTTTTCTCTCCCTCCCTCCCTGTCACTAAAAATCAGTGGACATGTCCTCTGTTAAGGACAAAAAATTAATACTTCAGAAAGGGAGTAGGGAGTAAGAAAATGATGAGAGAATTATTTATAGGATGCAGATCAAAAAGGTACTCTCATTCTAAGATTGGAATTTGAATCTTATCTTTGGGTAATGGGGGTTCATTAAGCACAATATGCATCATCTAGAATACAGATTGGTTTGCCGCAAGAAAGAGATCCAAAAATATAGTGGCTGAGTAAGAAAATATTTCTCTCAAATACAAGCCCAAGCAGGCAGTGCAAGATTAGTACAGTTGAATGCAGCCAGATGTTGTTGGGACCTAAAATTTCTTTTGTCTTGTTATTCCATTATGCCCTAGTTGTTTGACTCACATACCTGAAAATCATTACTACACTTCTTGGGTCCACATCCTAGCTAGCAAGAAAGGGCTCAAAATAAGAGGAAGACAGCATCCAGGGTGACTATGAATGTGGCCCAAAACAAAATCGTAAATTACACACAGACCTTTTTTTTTGCTCATCAGTTTTCGTTAGTGTTTGTGTATTTAATGTGTGGCCCAAGGCAACTCTTCTTTCAGTGTGGCCCAGAGATGCCAAAAGTTTGGACACCCCATAGAAGTCATACACAGAAATTCTACTCATATTCCATGGATTAGAAGTTTAGCCACACCATCTGAAAAGAAATTTGGGAAATAGGATCTTTATTCTGGATGACCATGTGACTCATTAAAATTCAGAGATAGTCATATATCTGAATTTTAACTTTAATGAAAAATTCCTTCTGTCTTCAATACAAAGACCTGATGTGGGGCCCTGTGGCTCAGTAGGTCAAGCTCCTGAAAAGCAAAAGGTCACCAACTCAATCTCCAGTCAGGGCACATGCCTGGGTTGTGGGTTTCGATCCCTGGTCAGGGGACATGCAACAGGCAACCAATTGATGTTTCTCACATCAGTGTTTCTCTCACTCTCTTTCTCCCTCCCTTCCTCTCTCTGTAGGAATAGGTAAATAAAAATTTTTTTTTAAATTGATGTGGGGACAGAAAAGGGGGATGCCAATTAAGAAGCTATTGTAGTCCCTATAAGAAATTGTGGGAACATGAATTAAGGTAGGCAAAACTGGGTGCCAATAAAGAGATGTGAATGGATTTTAGAAATACTTGGGAGAATCCGAGTATTTTGGTGTTGGACTTGCAAGGGGATAGAGAAAAAGATGATGCCTATATTTTCTCACTTAGGTGATTTGTACCATTCAGTGAAATAGGTAACACAAGAAGAAGAGCAGGGTAAAGTGTGCAGAGCAAAAAGGAAGATCGATGATGAATTTAGTTTTGTATCTTGTCTTAGGGACACCCTAGAGGAAATGTACAGTAGACTCTTGGACATAATGGTCCTGAGCTCAGTATGAAAAGTTGGGCTGGAGATACAGCTATAAGAGGATTATGTATAGAAATAACATCTGAAGCTATAGGAATAAAAAGACAAATCAGAGGAAATGTGTAGACTGAGAAAGTAAAAGCCAAGGGATAACTCAGAGGAATACGTATGTTTGAGGATGCAGTAGAAAGAGAAGCTAATAAATAAAAGAGAGCAACTTAGGAGGAAGAAGAATAATGAAAAGAATGCCACCAAATCCCAGGAGAGATATTCAAGTTGGATGCACAGATAATAGGCACTGTGTTGAATTTTGCAGCCTTAAAAATCAAGGGTACAAAAACAAATATTTCATTTAGCAACAAGGAATTTGTTGGTTTTGGTGAAAGAAGTTTGGTGGAAATGGAGGCAAAGACAGATTGCAATGAGTAGAAGAGTGAATGAAAAGTAAGGAAATTATACAGTTTTGCCAGAAGCTCCATTATTAAAAGGAGAAACAAGGCTAGGACCAAGTAGGATATGATTGATGGAGGAGGCTGTTTTTTGTCATATATTTTATTGATTATGCTATCACAGTTGTCCCATTTCCCCCCCTTCATTCCCCTCCACCCTGCACACCCTCTCCCACCCATGTTTCCCCCCTTCAGTTCATGTCCATGTGTCGTAAGTTCTTTAGCTTCCACATTTCCCATACTATTATTGCCTTCCCCCTGTCTCTTTTCTACCTACCATCTATGTTACTTATTCTCCATACTTTTACCCCCTCTCTCCTCCTCCCACTCCCCTGTTGCTAACCTTCCAGGTGATCTCCATTTCTGTGATTCTGTTCCTGTTCTAGTTGTTTGCTTAGTTTTTGTTTTTGTTTTAAATGTGGTTGTTAATAATTGTGAGTTTGCTGTCATTTTACTATACATGTTTTTTATCTTCTTTTTCTTAGATAAGTCCCTCTAACATTCCATATAATAAGGGCTTGGTGATGATGAACTCCTTGAACTTGACCTTATCTGAGAAGCACTTTATCTGCCCTTCCATTCTAAATGAAAGCTTTGCTGGATAGAGCAATCTTGGATGCAGGTCCTTGCCTTTCATGACTTGGAATACTTCTTCCCAGCCCCTTCTTGCCTGCAAGATCTCTTTTGAGAAATCAGCTCACAGTCTGATGGGAACTCCTTTGTAAGTGACTGTCTCCTTATCTCTTGCTGCTTCTAGGATTCTCTCCTTCATTTTTATCTTGGCTAATGTAATTATGATGTGCCTTGGTGTGTTCCTCCTTGGGCCCACCTTCTTTGGGACTCTCTGAGCGTCCTGGACTTCCTGGAAGTCTATTTCCTTTGCCAGATTGGGGAAGTTCTCCTTTACTATTTGTTCAAATAACTTTTCCACTTGTTGCTCTTCCTCTTCCCCTTCTGGTACCCCTATAATTCAGATGTTGGGAGGTTTAAAGATGTCCTGGAGGTTCCTAAGCCTCTTCTCATTCTTCTGAATTCTTGTTTCTTCCTTCTTTTCCATTTTGTTGTTTCCTTCTTCCTTCTGGTCCACTCTATTGATTTGAATCCCAGTTTTCTTCCCATCACTATTGGTTCCCTGTGCATTTTCCTTCATTTCACTTAGTGTAGCCTCCATTTTTTTCATCTAATTTGCAACCAAATTTGACCAATCTATGAGTATCCTGATCACCAGTACTTTGAACTGCACATCTGATAGGTTGGCTATCTCTTGGTTGCTTAGTTGAATTTGCTCTGGAACTTTGATCTGTTCTTCCACTTGGGCCATGTTTTGTTTTGTTTTGTTTTTCTCATCATGCCTATTATATGAGGGGCGGAGCCTTAGGTGTTCACCAGGGCAGGGCAACCCAGTCACTGAGTTGTGACATTGCATGTTTGCGGGGGGGGGCGTCCATAGGGAACAATGGCGCTTGCTCTGCTCTCTGTCAGCTTTCGGTCCCTTCCACCACTTCCCCCAAACAAACTGGGCCTTTCTGGTGCTGATTCTCATGTGGGTTGTCTTGCGTATGTTCTAGGACCCTGTGGGTCTCTCCAATGATCTCTCCTGTGAGGCTGGGAGCCTCTCCCTGTGCCTCAACCCCCACAGGTGTTTTCAATCAGTGTCTGGAGGCTCTATTTCCTGGAGCTGGGCCCCTGGGTTGTGTGGTCTGTGTCACTGCCCAATTTTGCCTGGTTTATCTGCACGCAAATGTGGCCTGGACAGTCAGGCACCTTGTGCGCAGTGCCTCACTTCACAGTCACTGCCTTGCTGGGTCTGCCAGCCTTCTGTGCACCTGGGGTCTGCCCACTGCAGTCTAGTGCCCAGGATGCCTTACATGCCCGGTGCCACTGTTTTTTGTGCCTCAACCCCTCCCCACCCAGCTGCCTAACTCTGCCCCTCCTACCGGTCTGGATGAATGTGTTTATTTTAACTCTTTGATTGTCCGACTTCCATACAGTTCAATTTTCTGTCAGATCTGGTTGTTATTTTGTTTCTAAATTGTTGCTGACCTTATTTTGGTTGTGTGAGGAGGCACAGTGTGTCTATCTACACCTCCATCTTGGCTGGAAGTGATGGAGGAATTTTAAATCTCAAAATGAAAGGAGCTTTGTGTTTTTCTGATTATAAAAATAGTGTGTTATATTAATAATTGAGGTGATAACAATAAGAACATAAAGAAAAATAAAAACACGAAAATAACTTAGAAATAATCATTACTACCATTTTGATGTAATATTTCTATACTATAAATATATATGTGGGCAAAAGTAGGTTTACAGTAGTGAGCACATAAAACACAGAGCTTATTTTTTTATTATTGTTTATTAACTAGTGCACTATTTATTTGTACCACAACTATAACCTACTTTTGCCCACCCCTGTGTGTGTATGTAATGCTATACCTAAACTTCTTTTTCTAGTTTAATACACATGGACATCCTTCCATGGCAATGAATAATTACAGTTCATTAAATTTATGATACTCCATAGTAAGAGCATAACAAAATGTATTTGCTGAACCCCAATTTGTGGACATTTAAATTGTCCACATGTTATAACCCCAATTGTGGACATGTTAAATTGTTGTTATTAACAGTGGTCCCATAAGCATTCTTGTAGAGAAATATTTACATGTTTTCTGATTGCTTCTTTATTTTTTAAATTATATTTTATTGATTATGGTATTACAGTTGTCCCAATTTGTCTTCCTTTGTCCCCCTCCACCCAGCAGCCCCACTCCCTCAGGCAATCCCCACACCATTGTTCATGTCCACAGGTCATGAGTATTAATTCTCTGGCTACTCCATCTTCTATACTCTACTTAACATCCCTGCGGCTATTCTGTAAGTACCTATTTGTCCTTCTTAATCCCTTCACCTCTTCACCCATTCTCCCATACCTCCTTCCCATCCAGCAACCATCAAAATTCTCTCCATATCCACGATTCTGTCTGTTTGCTTAGTTTGTTTTTAGATTCAGTTGTTGATAGATATGTATTTATTGCCATTTTATTGTTCATAGTTTTGATTTTCTTTTTCTTAAATAAGTCCCTTTACCCTTTCACATAATAGTGGTTTGGTGATGATAAACTCCTTTAGTTTTTTTCTAGTCAGGGAAGCTCTTTATTTGTCCTTCAATTCTAAATGATAGCTTTGCTGGGTAGAGTAATCTTGGCTGTAGGTCTCTGCTTTTCATAACTTTGAATATTTCTTACCAGTCCCTTCCAGCCTGCAAAGTTTCTTTTGAGAAATCAGATGACAGTCTTATCAGAACTACCCTGTAGGTGAATAACTGATTTTCTCTTGTTGCTTTTAAGATTCTCTCTTTATCTTTAACCTTTGGCATTTTAAGTATGATGTGTCTTAGAGTAGGCCTCTTTGCATCCATCTTGTTTGGGATTCTCTGTGCTTCCTGGACTTGTATGTCTATGTCCTTTACCAAATTAGGGAAGTTTATTTTTTCAAATACAGTTCCAATTTCTTTCTCTGTCTCTTCTCCTTCTGGCACCCCTATGATGTGAATGTTGGACCTCTTGAAGTTGTCCCAGAGGTTGCTTACACCATCCTCATTTTTTTTTAGATTCTTTTTTCTGCCTGTGGTTCTGATTGGTTGTTTTTTGCTTCCTTATGTTCCAAATCATTGATTTGGTTCTTGACTTCATTCATTCTACTGTTGTTTTCCTGTAAATTATTCTTTATTTCAATTAGCATATCCTTCATTTCTGACTGGATCTTCTTTCTGCTGTTGAAGTCCTCACTAAGTTCCTTGAGCATCCTTATAACCAGTATTTTGAATTCTGCATCTGGTAAATTGTTTATCGCTGTTTTTTCTTAGTTCTTTTTCTGGAGTTTTGACCTGTTCTTTCATTTGAGCCATGTTTGTTTGTCTCCTCATTTCGGCAGCCTCCCTGTGTTTGTTTCTATGTATTAGATACAGCTGCTATGACTCCCTGTTTGGTAGTGTGGACTAATGTAGTAGATGTCCTGTAGGGTCCAGTAGCACAGCTTCCCCTATAACTCAAGCTGTGTACTTGAAGTGCACCCTTTGTGGCTGAGTACACCCTCCTCTTGTAGCTGAGACTTGATTGCTGTTGGCAGGTCAATGGGAGAGATCTATCCAGGTTAGTCAGCTGCAAGGACTGTCTGTGACCATTGACCACCAACCTCTGCCCTCTGTGGAAGATCAACTATGCATGGGTAGGGTGGTGGTTTTTGAAAATGGTCTGTAGCTGTTCATTGGGTATGCAGACTCTGGGGTTTCCCAGGTGGTACAGGCCAATGTCAGCCCCACCTGTGTTCTACCTGGAGCGACCCTTCATGAGCCATAAAGCAATCTTAGATGGCTACTACTTGTGCTGCACTTGAAGATTCCTAGGCAAAGCAAAGTTGTGAATCTAGGCTAGCTGCTGCTAGAGCCAGGACTGGAACCACTTAGCTGTTGCTTGCTTGCTTGATAGGGTTTAGGAAGTTGTGAAGCATTAACCTAGACTAGCCATTTATGTGGAAAAGTCACGGTTAACAGTTAGGGTGGGCCTATAAATTGGGTGGGATAGAGTCTCAGGGGTTCTCTAGGCAGGACAAACAGTGTTAGCTAGGTTGATGGAGTCTCAGATATGGTACCTGCCTGCCAGCTCTGTGGCTCTGTTGAGGGAAGGCTCAGAAAAGTGACAATGGCCTCTGCCTCCCTTTCTGTCTGGGAGAAATTCTCCCCCATTTCTGCTTTGACGCCAGACACTTCAGTTCCTCCCTCTATGCTACTGGTGCCTTTCTAGCTGCTAGCCTGGGGGTGCTGGATCTCAGAGGGAGTGCATCTGTATAAGTCCATGTGTGGGTTCTTTAAGGGAAACTGCTTAGGGCTTTGTCTTCCACTGACTCAATCCCTGATGGTTTTTGCAGCCAGAAGTTGTGGGAACTTATCTTCCTGGCACTGGATAACTGTATTGTGGGATGTCGGTTGGGGCTAGGACCCCTCACTCCCAAGATATCCCTCCCTAATTTTTATCTACCATATGTGGATGTGGGACCAGCCTGTTCCATGACTCTGTCCCTTCTACCAGACTGGACGGATGTGGTTTCTTTAATTCCATAGTTGTTAGACTTTAATTCAACTCAATTTCTGGACAGTCTGAGTGATGGTTGTTCTGTATTTTAGTTGTTTTGATGTGGTTGTGTGAGGCAGTGAGCCATGATTACATATGCCACCATCTTGATGAGAAGTCCTTTCTGATTCTTTCTTTAGGAAAAAAATCAAGAAAATAGAATTTCTGGGTTGATGGAGAAGAGGGAATGATTAGTAAATCAAGATTTCCAGAGAAGCTCCATCAGAGCACAGATAGGGTTAGCCTTGAATACCAGAAGGGACACCTTTTCTACATTCTCTCTTGGGACAAGAGGGGTAATAGAAATAACTGGTGGTGCCACACTTAAATTTGTAAGTAGCATAGCAGGAAATCACTTACTGAAAGTGAAAACAAAGGTGATGATGTCAAGATTCTGAGGAGAGTAAGGAGGTTTTGAAATTATAGCTATGACCTATGGAAGAGGGCTGAACTATATAAAAAAAAGTATTGACAATTAATATGTTTGTATGGCACCAGTTTGTGCAATGGTATAACTGTTTACTCAGCAGCCAGGTTTGGAGTTTTATGGTAGAAAGACAAATGAACAAATGAGTTCAGGACTGGAAGACTGGCAAAAGTGTAGGTAATATGATGAACAATAAGGTCCAGACTGAATGGAGAATGAAGGGAAGACAGGATAGTTAGATAGGGAGGAAATGCCTTTTTAGAATAAGGAGGATTCAGTTAAGTGTAGGAAAGTATAAAACAACTAGGAGAGGAGATTTTGATCAGAAAGCAGAATATTTGAATTTAAAATTTCAGAGGTAGAATAGTTCTGGGTGATAACAAGAAACTGGTGTACCCTTAGAAGTGGGTTAAAAGACATTGTGAAACTTAGCTGCTTCTGTAGCAGAAAATTGTTATTAGTAGTTATTGAAAACTGAAATACATAATATGCCTATTTATAAATTTTTTTAAAGTCTTTTTAATGAGATTTAATGTTTATTCTAGAAAACCTGGAATCAGATTACTTTGGCAAGCTCGAATCTAGATTGTCAATCATACGAAACATAAACAACCAAGTTCTCTTCATTTCGCCACAAGACCACCCTGTGTTTGAAGATATGACTGATGCTGACTGTGAAGGTATTTTTTAAAAATATGTTTACAGCCCAGCTGGTGTATCTCAGTTAATTGACAGTGGGACTGGGAACCAAAGGGTCACAGGTTCGTTTCTCAGTAGGGGCACATGCCTGAGTTGCAGGCCTGGTCCCCAGTAGGCGCACGCAACAGGCAACCACACACTGATGTTTCTCTCCCTCTCTTTTCTCTTAATTCCCCTCTCTAAAAACAAATAAACAAAATCTTTTAAAAAATATATGTTTACAAACACAGAAACGACAAGCTACTTCTTATTCCATTTTACTGCTTATATTTTTCTATTACAAGCTTACACCTGAAATGAAAAGTCATAGCAGTAGTAATAATTTCACTTACAAGAAACTTTGTAGGGATACAAATGTTTTAGTTGGGATGAAAAAATTGATACAATAAAGATATTGCCAGGAGTTGGGAGGAGGACAAAGGAAGTAAAGGGAATCAAATTTGTGATGACAAAAGGAAACTACGTTTCAGATGATGGGCACATAATAGACTATACAGATGTTGTATTATCAAACTGTACATCTGAAATTTATATAATGTGATTAACTAATGAAACCCCAATAAGTTTAATTTTTAAAATATTTTAAAAGATATTGCTAGGGGTCATGCTACTCTGGGCCTACATTTGGATCACCAATTCCTTCATTTCAATTGCATTAACTGTATAAGATCTCCATAGAGTTGGATCCTTAACACCTGCTGGTTATAGCTGAAATAGCTAATAGCATTTTCAAAACTCAGAATTAAAAACAAATACACAAGCATTTCAAATAAATCTGTCTTATGCCATAAATTTAGAGTGCCTTAGAAAATGAGTAAGTTTGCTTTCCAAGGTATGAATTCAAATACCAGAGTTTAGGCAGAGTTGAAACAGTGACTGTGTACTTTTTTTTTAAGATTTTATTTATTCATTTTTAGAGAGGGAAGGGAGGGAGAAAGAGAGAGAAAGAGAGAAACACCAATGTGCGGTTGCTGGGGGCTGTGGCCTGCAACCCAGGCAGGTGCCTTGACTGGGAATCAAACCTGCGATGCTTTGGTTCGCAGCCCACGCTCAATCCACTGAGCTACACCAGCCAGGGCAAAACAAGGTTTTGTTTTGTTTGTTTTGTTAGGACTTTATTTATTTATTTTTAGACAGAGGGAAAGGGAGAGAGAAAGGGAGGAAGAAACATCAATGTGTGGTTGCATTTCATGCACCCCCAACTGGGGACCTGGCCTGCAACCCAGGCATGTGCCCTGGCTAGGAAATGAACCTGTGACCCTTTGGTTCACAGGCCAGTGCTCGATCCACTGAGCCACACCAGCCAGGGTGGTGAATGTGTACTCTTGAAAAATACTTAGCATATTGTTCTCCAGGTCCATCCATACTAAGTGAAATAAGCCATTCAGAGAAAGACAAATACCACATGATTTTACTCATAGTAGAATCTAATAAACAAACTGAACTAACAAGCAAAATGGAGACAGACTCATAGACAGAGATCAGGGTGACAGCTAAGGGGGTGGGGGAGGGCAGTGGCTGGAAGGATTGAGCAAACAGGAAAAAGGACTCATGGACATCGACAAGAGTGTGGTAATTTCAGGGTCAGGGGGTGTAAGGGGACCAAATGGTAATAAAAAATAAAAAATCCTAAATGTTTACCTTAACAGACAGATTTTTATGATTCTGTTTAAAAGTTAAAGACAATCTTTTAGAATTCAAAATGTCTCTTAAGCACTCAATTTGCTGCTTTTGTGTTGTAATGCACATTTGAGTGTGTTTTAAAGAATATGTGAGCAGCTGTATGCAGTCTCAGCTAACTGGCTGAATCTCAGTGTGGGATTAGTAATGGGTCTACTAAGGATTATCCCTTGGCTAATTTTCATAAATATTGATTTGCAAAAGTTCTTATAACTAGTGTTCTCATTTCTTAATGTTTATTGCAGATAATGCACCCCGAACGGAAATTATCATATCTATGTATAAAGACAGCCTTACTCGAGGCATGGCAGTAACAATCTCTGTGAGGTGCAATAAAATGTTTACTCTCTCCTGTGAGAACAAAAGTATTGCCTTTAAGGTAAGACTGAGCTTAAATTTGTTTTAGTCATATTTATGTGAAAAATTAGAAAACCTAAATATCCTCAATTCAACTTTTTGTCTAGAACAAGAATGGCAAGAAGCCAAGAACATTAAAATAGTTACTAAAAATTATCCAGCTCTCTGATCCGTTGTAACATCAGGCTTTTTCTAAGTCTGCCATACGGAAGAAGTATAACTGTGGTTTCATAACCTGTCTCTTCTGAATAATCATTCTATAATAAATAATAATATTGAAGACATATATGAATTATTATATTTAAGAATTGCATACTTTTCCCAAATAAGTTTTTTCAACAAAATGAAACTAATTATCTTTCTGTAAACCCTCTATATACTCTGTGAATTATGATGATAATATTTTAACCCTTAATTTTTTGTTCTTGCTTCTCAGCTGCATCCTTCAGCTTTCAGTTGATGTATGTTATTTTTAATGTAAATCTAAGTGAATAAAATTAACAAGATTAGCTGTAAAAGCAATAGCATAATGTATCTTAAAGCCATGTATAAACTGTTTCTAGTCATTGCTTTTTCTTCCTCTATGCTCTTTTTTTTGTCTCTTGAAGAGTTCCCAAGTGGGGATTTACTGGTAAAATACTGCTGTGGGAACTGAAGGTTAGAGTATGGCCTTAGTAGACATGCCAAGGGGCAAGTTGGGAGGGAGGAAAAAGCCAATCTAAAATATAATCCAAGAAAAATCAGTATGTGTGCCACAAATACAGCCTCCAAACAAATCCTTTAGCCATCACCTTCCAACCAGAGTGCTACCCTTTTGGGTCCTGACAAGCAGGAAGCTTAGTTATCATAATGGCTTTCCAGGCCTGGAGATGGACGGGCAGGGTGGAGAGGATTAAGCATGTTCTTCCTTAGCAACAAAATCAGAAGGGAAGGAAGGGGATAGCCAAACTCAAACCATGTGGGGTAAAGGAAAACTAATTCAGCTGCAGAGACAGATTCAGAGTCTGGGATAAGCCTGAACTCTAAGTGCATTATTACTGAGAGAGCCTGGGGAGTGTTAAAAAAAGATGGAAATAATGCTACTATATACCTATAGTAGGTACTGGGGTAAATCCAGGTTTGGGAGAGCCTGAAGCTTACACAGTTTGGGCATGCCTTTTAGAGAAAGAGAATGTAAAATTACCAAAGAAATAAAGTTGACAATTTATTTAGAATAAGAAATGAAGGGGCTTTAGAAGAGACCTGTGCATGTTGGGGTAGAGGGGGATGCTCTGGCATTTAAGTTTCATTAGCTTCATAGCAAATCTGCTTCTGAAAGGAACTCAGTAAATATTAGTTGGAGGAAGGGATGGAGGGTGAGAGAGGAAGGAAAGGAAGGAGGGAGAGAGGGAATGAAAAGAGCTAGTTTTAGTTCATGCTCTTTAATTCATTTTCCCCCTACTAATAAGGATCTTAGCAGTGATTATAAATATAGACTAAATTCTACTAGATAATAAAACACAACTGGCTGCCATTATGTGCTCATCTTTCTGTGCTGGTTACTAGCTATTAAGTCCTAGTGCTTATGGTTACCCCTGTTTGCTCTGGGTAAGAACCTTCATGACACCAGCAGAGATTTCTTCAATAAGTTACTGTTAGTGTCTATTTCTTGTATATGTCTCCAGGCATGGTCTGGATTCTCTCAAACTTGCTAATGCACTTGGGAGAGGGGAAAAAAAACCAAACCAGATATTAGGTCAAGCTTAACTTTCTCTGGGTTGATATTCAATCCCTCCTGATGTAAACAATCCCATAGGCCCTTGGAGCACTCGAGTTTCATTACACAAGAGTGTTTCCACATTCATTTACTGTACACCTTCCCTATGATGGCTAAGAATAAGCAACACCAAAACCAAGGAAAGCTACTGTCCCGGGATTTCCTTGACCCTGTTCTGAAATGTGTATCCATGCCCCCACTTTCAACTACAACTTTTCATGCTAAGTTTGAACTAAGGTTTAGCTCCCTCTAACATTTCTAGAGATTCTGAAGTTTTGGCTAAGGACTATTTCCTACTTGTACATTCGAGTAGGTTAGTACCAAATTGGCTCCCCAGCTTAAGATCTCTTCCTAAATTCTGGGATACAATAGAGAGCTGCAGAAATATACATCTGTGGGACAACTATTTTATATTGTTATCAGTATACTCACACTTATTGATAAAGAACAAAGTTTAAGAGTTATGGCTATAAATTCCCTAACTGACTGAGAAGTTTGGAAGTACCCAAACTTCTTTCAGGTATTGTAGGAGGAAGCTGGAATGCTATTAATATTTTGGATCTGGAGGTTTCTCCATCAGTCTTTAGTTAGGATCATGAGAATTTTTGCTACTGTGGGGTCAAAATTAAGTTCAAATGTCTGCTGATTCCAGAATTAACATGGAAAGAATCTTGGATGGTCCTTGGACTTTCTAGTCCCTCTTGAAAAATAGGTATGATACAATAAAAAAAAAAAGTGTAAGCAATACTGTCAGTTAGGTGACCAGCAGGATTATAGTTTCAAATGATCTAGCTAATCTTGAGAAAACCCTATTCTGTGTCTGAAAGATATAAGAATCAGAATTTAACCTTGCCCTAGCCAAGTAGCTCAATTGGTGAGAGCGTTGTTCTGATATGTCAAGGTTGTGGGTTTGATCCCTGTTCATGGGATGTAGAAGAATCAACCAATGAATGTGTAAATAAGTGGAACAACAAATCGATGTTTCTCTGTCTCCCTCTCTCCTCCTTCCTCTTCCTTGCCCTCAAATCAATACAAAAAAAAATAAGTAAGAATTTGGCCTTTCAGGGCAGAGCCCAGCCAAAGACTACTTTCAGAATAGAAATTCAGGACTACTGTGGAAATGGAGTACTTGGCAGGGAAAAGTCAAAGGCTGCTGACTAAGCCACTATGGCAAGGTTATATAGGATTCAAGGACTTAGCCCTAGAACAGCTGTAGTGGGTCTATTTACAGTAAGTTTCAGTTCTAGCCTCCAATGAAGGAAGGAAGCACCTAAGATTCCTGTCATTTCTGCCTCTCTCACAGTTAGCTCACAAACTACAGCTAGACTAGGCCTATGGGTGGAGGTTATGAGTGTCTTTAGTTCTGAATGGCTGGAAAAGACAGGAACTGACATTAGCCCAGAAAGGTTGTGGTCTTTGCTAAAACTGACTCTATCTTCAGCAGATAGGAACGTCACTCAATGGAAGAAGAGAGAAGGAACTGTATGATTAATAAATAGGAAAAACTATAGACCTAGACCAGAACGTGCATTTCATGGTAGGAAAAGCCAAATGGACAAAGATAATAGGAGATTAGGAATTAAGAGGGAGAGATTGGTATTTTTATATTCAGAGATGTTTATCTTAATTCATGATCATGCAAACTTCTTTAGTTCTATGCAGTAATACACTTTAAAATAAACTGCACATATTCTAATTGTTCACATCCTAAAAAATTAATATATTTTCTCTATAGGAAATGATTCCTCCTGATAGTATCAATGATGAAGGAAGTGACATCATATTCTTTATGAGAAGCGTTCCAGGACATCACAATAAGATAAAATTTGAGTCTTCATTATACGAAGGACACTTTCTAGCTTGTAAAAAGGAGAATGATCTTTTCAAACTCATTTTGAAAGAAAAGGACAAATATGGGGATGAATCTGTAATATTCACTGTTCAAAGCAAGAACTAGGTATTAAAATTGCATAGCTTGAACTTCCTGAGTTTTTGTGGTTGAGAAAGTTTGTAAGAGTTTGAACCTATAATTGTAGTGATGAAATAAAATGTATAGTGGTCTCAAAAGATATTACTAAGAAATTAATAATAAGCTTTCACAAAATTGAATTGACTCCCCCTTATCTGGATGAATAAAATATTTGCATAATGTAAAAAAGAATGCATAGTTTGAAAACACATTCTACATTGTTAATTGGAACACAGATCATACTCAATGGAAGTGTTTTGAATCTTTTGGGTTATGTTGAAAGATATTGATATTTGAATTTTTAATTGTTAAGAATATCATTAAAGCCATTAAGATTTTGCCCTGGCTGGGTGATTCAGTTTGATAGGGTGTCACCCCATACACCAAAAGCTTGTAGGTTTGATCCCCATTTGGGGTGTATATGGAAGGCAAATGATCGATGTTTCTCTCTTACATGGATGTTTCTTCTTTCTCCCTTTCTCTCTCACTAAAATCAATAAACTTATCCTTGGATCAGGACTAAAAAATATGTACCATCCAGATTTTATAAAGAGACCATTTCAGCTGACTAATTTCTGTCAAAGTCAGGATATCTTTAAAATTCAGATTGATCCTGAATCTAGCAACATATAAAAAGGATTATACATTCTGAGCAAGTGGCATTCAATCCAGGAATGCAAATGCTTTAATATTCTAAAATCAATTAATATAATATATCATATTAATAAAGAATAAAAACCATACAATCATCTCAGTAGATGTAGAAAAGCCTCTGACAAAAGTCAATTCATAGCAAAAATTCTCAACAAACTTGAAAAAGAAGAGAACTTTCTCAATGTGATAAAGGGCATCTGTGAAAAACTTACCACTAACATCATACTTAACAGTGAAAAAATAATGCGAGAATGTCAGCTCTTGCAACTTCTACTCAATGTACTGGAAGTTCTAGCCAGTATAATCATAAGAAAAGGAAAAGACACCTAGATTAGAAAAAGAGAAGTAAAACTGTTCTTATGTGAAGACAACATGATTATTTATGTAGAAGATCAGAATACACACATGTGTGTACATGCACACAGACCCCTATTAAAACTGAAGAAGCTCAGTGAGGTTGCAGGAAACAAGACTAATATATGGAAATAAATTGTATGTCTACATATGAGAATGTACAATTAATTCCATTCATAAGAGTACTAAGAGATATAAATATAAATTCAGCAAAAGAAGTGTAAAACTTATATAATAAAGTTTTCAGAACATTGTTGAGGGAAATTTAATATGATCTAAATAAGTGGAGAGACATTCCACATTCATTGATTGGAAGACTCAGTATTGTTAAGATGATAGTGCTCCCCAAATTGATGTATGGATTCAACTCAATCTCTGTCCAAGTTCCAGCCGGATTTTTTGCAGAAATTGATAAATTGTACCTGAAATGTAGATGGCAATCAAAAAGACAGAATAGCAAAAACTTTTTAAAAAAGAACAAAGTTGGAAAACTTTCATTTCCTAATCTTAAAATTTAATGTAAGTTCTCAGAACTTTCTGGTACTGACATAAGCATAAACAGATCAATGGAACAGATTTCTGAGTTCAGAAATAAATCCTTATATTTATGGCCAGTTGATTTTTGACAAAGACTTTTGACGAAGATAGAAAGGAGGGTTTTCAACAAATGGTGCTAGGACAATTGGATATCCACATTCCAAAAATATGAACACAGAACTTTACCTAACACTATATAAAAATTAATTCAAAATGGATCAGAGACACTAATGTAAACTAAAGCTATTAAACTTTAAGAATAAAACAGGAGAAAATGTCAAGACCTTGGGTTAGGCAAGGTTTTTTTAGGTCCAACAAAGAAGTTAGGTCCATAAAAGAAAAAACTGATAAACTGGACTTAATCAAAATGAAAACTTAGGGAGTGAAACTGGGCAAAGGGTACATAGGATCTATCTTTGCAACTTCCTGTGAATCCTTAATTATTTCAAAATTAAAAATTGTTTAGAAACAACTTTACATTCTAAAGACATCATTAAGAAAAGAAAAAGATAAGACACAGACTAGAGAAAATATTTGTCATCATATATATGGCAAGAAAAAAATTGTATCCAGGATATACAAAAAAGTCTTACAACTGAATAAGAGGACAATTCAGTTTTTAAATGTGCAAAAGATTTGAAGAGACATATTTCAAAAAGACATAGAAATGGTTCATAAGCACATGAAAAGATGAACATCATTAGTTCTTGGAGAAATATAAATTAAAACCACAATGAATTACCACTTCCTAGCCACCAGGATGTTTATGATCATAAAGACAGACAATAACAAGATAACAAGTAGCAAAAATGTTAAGAAACAGGAATTCTCATACATTACTGATGGGAATGTGAAAAGTACAACTCCTTTGGGAAAGATTTTCAGTTTCTTACAAAGTTGAATACAAATTTTTCACATGAGCCAGCAATTCCATTCCTACATATCTATTCAAGAGAAATAAACCATGTTCCCACAAAAACTCATACAATAATGTTCATATCAGCATTATTCTTAATAGCCAAAAAGTGGAAAGAGCCCAAATACCCATCAGTTGGTGAAGAGATAAACAAAATATGGTATATCCATAATGAAATACCAATACTAATAAAAAAAAGTGTAAAATACAGATACTTGCTACAATGTGAATGAACTTTAAAAAGATGCTAAATGAAAGAAACCAAACAGAAAAGATTACATATTACATGATTCTATTTGTACAAAATGTCCAGAAAAGGAAAATCTACAGAGAAGTGAATTCATGTTTGCCAGGGTTCTGGTGGGAAGGGGGATGAATTGTAAACAGACATGAAAGATCTTGGAGAGAAGAAAATGCTCTAAAACTGGATATGGTGATGGTTGAACAACTAGGTAAATTTACTAAAAATCATTAAATGGTACACTTAAAATGGGTAAACTTACAATATATAAATTATGCCTTAATAAAGTTATTTTAAAAACAAACGAGTCAGTTTGATCAACTTTTTATATTAACTTTTATTGTTTTTCCCTGCTATAAAATTAAGACATATCCATCACAAAAATTTTAGAAAATACAAAGGGAACTGTTAAAAAACAAAATTCAACTGAGTAAATTTGAGTATCTAATAGGCTTTACTCAGTGATTCATGAATCAGGTAGCATCCCATCTGCCAAGTAGGAGCTCTGAGAAGCTATACAAAATCGGAGGCTCCTATAGACAGGAGCGGGCAGAAAAAAAGAGAGCAGATTACCTCACCTTTCTTTGGGTCTGTCAGGTGGATGACCTCAGTACTGCTGACCAGGAAATTCCAAATGAACTGGGAGATGCTAGAACTGCTGTTCAGGTGTTGTCTTGGTTTGGTGACATGGGCTTAGCACAAGTGACTCCATTTGAGACCATTCTCTCTCTTTCTTAACAGAACAAAAGAAGAAAATTTAAACCACTCATCCTTCTATCTTCAGATAACCATTTTTGACATTTTGGTGTAGATCCTTACAGTTTTCCTTTCTGCAGAAATTTAGGCTGAAAAATTAAAACACTCTTTACTTCTTGTCCTAGACAGAATCTTGTATATCTTTCAAAGCTGCAGATGAAATCTTAGATATGCAAAGAGAGGGCCTGAGCTGAATCTGGATGTAAGAAATGAAAAGAGCTGATAGTTCTGGTTAGAAAAGACAGGGCTCTGAGAGGGAAAGCACAAATGGGGTTCTGGCTTGAGTTGCCCCCGCCAACTAAAAAATAAAAATCAGCCAATCAATCAAACCACACCAGAGCCTGAAACAAGAATTTGTGTGCAGATCCTGTGTTTGAGAGGTGATCCGAGAGAGCAGGAGCAAGAGAGCTAGGAGGGTAAGAAAGGGAAGGTGCAGAACCTAGTACAAGGGGACGTTATCAAGGTTGTTACTGTGGGCCTGGTTTGTCCAGAACCTCCTGAGAAGCACAAAAAATGCCCCCAAATTATCCCCCTGGAGCAGGATGGGCAGGAGCACTACCCACCAGCTCCTGACACCCATTAATTGAATATTGCCCTTAGCCCCACACTTCTGAGCTGTGTTTGTGTTACCAAACAGAAAGAGTCTGTTCACCCAGCACTGGCAGAGTCAATCACTAGACACCAAGAATTTCAGTGGAGAAAGGCTGGCTATTTTATTATGATTGGTGCTACCCAGGAGAGCAGGAAGCTAATGCCCAAAAGCCCTAACTCCCTGATCCAGGGTTCAGGCAGGTTTCTAAGGGGCTGGGAGAACAGGTAGGTAGAATTGCTGGTAGGCAGGTTTTAATTGGAGGACCTTGAAGCTTGGTCATTTACGGTGAAGGGGCTTCAGTACTGCATCTTCGGGGACAAGGACCCTTCATCTACAAAAGGGTCCTGGTGTTCAACGTTAGGTTAAATCCAAGTCTTTTGGCTCCCTGGGGTGGGCAGGGCGAGACTCTGGTTCTAGGAGCAGCTGGAGGTCAAAGTTCTCTTCTCTGCACCTGTTTCACCTGCACAACTTTCAGTTTTGGTCTGTTGTCTTGTTAAAAAAAGAGATAGGATCATTTTGAGCTGGGTCTGTGTTATGGCTGGCCAGGTAGATTTATCTGCAGCAAAGAGTAAAATAACGCAGCAGGCTCAAGGTAATATTGTTAGCCTGAGCTGGCGTGGAACTCTCTGCAGCACTTAACTGCTGGCATCAGAAATGGGCTGAAGCAACATGACACCAGACTGGATCAAGGCATCATGGCAAGAAGGTAGAGCTTAAGTAGCGGAAATTACCAGAGGGCTTTTTAAAACCAGAGAAGTAGAATTCTCTTTTTATTGCATCTAAGATGCTATTGATTGTAAAATATACCATTACTTTAGGTGCCACTGAGAAAAAGAAGACACTGCCAACTAAAGTAGGGGATACCTTCAATTGTAAGGTGCATTCTTATTTCAGAGATATTAAAATGTGAACACTTGCATGTCTTAGAATTGATGAAATAGAGGTACAATGGACCACTATTTGCATTACTCTAATGTAAATGTCTCCATTTCCATACACGTTTAATACAGTCTGCTAAACACACAGCACTTTATGTGACTTGTTTTTCATGGAAATTAGGTGAAATAGCTCAATTTCACCTAATTTCACCTAATTCAGCTGAATCAGTGTGAACAGAAGAGTGACATGCTTTGGAAATCAGAATAATCACTGTTGGAGGAAGCAGCAGTTCAGAATCAAAGGTCTTCCTGGGTCTCAGGAATCTCAAGAAAATTTTAAGAACATTGATTCTTTTCAATTCATAGAATGGGACTTTGAGCCTATTTTAACAAGACCTTAACAGACAGGGAGAGTACTTTTTTAAGAAATATAAAACTAGGTTCATATTAATCATATTAACCAGACTGTTTTATGCCCTTTATCTCTTAATTATATAATTTGATCACTTTTTAGTTGGCTAGAAGCTAAAATCAGTTTGCCACAGACCATACATCAATGTAAGAAACATCCAAAATTGTAGAGAATTTTTATCAGTTTAGTTGAGCCAAACTGCTGACAATAGCTGGGAAGCAAAATCAAAGCTTTGAGATCATACTCCAGAGAATGACAGTTTTGCACCTTATTTTATACGTTAGAATCAAAGGAGGAGGCATGAAGGGGTTACACGAAATTCATTGGTGGTAGACTAGGGAGGTGGGAGAAAGCAAAATGTGGAAATCTCTGGAACTGGATAAAGAGTACAACAGAGGCACATGCTTCTTGTACATTGTTGGGTACAGAACAGTTAACGGTTAACAATGAAGATTTACAGCACATAGAGATGGTATTCCAGGAACAACAAGACGATGAGGGGTTCTGTGATCTTCTGCTCTGGTGCAATGGGTGTACTCTGAGGGGTCTGGAAAAAAGGTTATTCTGACAGTCCAAGGGTATGTTACTTTAGACACAAAAAGATGATAACAGGGTTAATTAAAGTAACAAGTGACCTTGGTCAAGGAAGCTGAGGGCCTAAGATATGACTACCCACCATGACTTACTTTCAGTTAGGAATTTTTATGTTCACATCATCTATGTGGTTACTTTTGATCTCTGAGTATGTAGGGCCTACAATGTAAGCCTCCCCTGAGCTTGTCGGGTTTAGCTCATGTGTCCCCTTTTCTGTCCATACCCAGGTCTTAGAGAAAATAAATTTGATCATGTGTTGCTCTCTTATCTGTAAGCCTTCTTTTAACAAAGTTGAAAATCTTGAAGTTTTTAATAAAATAAAAAATAATGATTAATACAGAACATAATGCATCTAATAACAGCTTTGCTTCATCACCCCTTAGCAGTTGTCTCAGGCCTTTCCAGATTTAAGAAACTGAAAGACTGAGTCATACCCCTTTGTTTTCTAAACTCCTCTGGTCTTGCTTCCTTATATTTTGACTCCTAAAAATATAATGTGGATATTTCAAGAGGCAGTGAGTGTGACGTGATGAAATGAGAAGAATGAGTTTTGGAGACATGCGACTTTGTTTGAATCTTGCCCCATAACCAAAGTTCTTATCTCTTGTATACTTTGGACTCATCTCTCTGAGGCTCATTTTTGGCATGGACACATGAAATGGATTGTCAGTGGTCAGAGGGGTGAGGGAGGGGGACTGGATGAAAGAATGCAAAGGGATTAGCAAAAATAACCACAGACACAGACAATAGTGTGGGAATAGACACAGACAGCAAGAGGGAAAGGGGGTGGGGGTAGTGGGAGGTAGGTAAAGGGAGGAAATGGGGACCAAAAGAGACTTTGCTTGGGGTGATGGGTGCACAATACAGTGTGCAGGTGATGTCTCATTGAGCTGTACATTTGAAACCTGTATGGCTTTGCAAACTAACTTCACCCAAATATATTCAAATTTTAAAAAATAGCTACTTCATATGGTAGTTGTACAGATTAAGTGAAATAATGTAAAGCTCTCAGTAGTATCTGGCACTGGAACATGGTAGCTAATAAGTATTATTTCCCTGCTTTCACTTCTCCATGCAGCCACCACCCACTTCCCCCTGCACTTTCACATCACACACATGCACACATCACCTGTCAGAAAAAATGGGACCTTTCCTTCCTACAGGAACTAACCCACCCTGTTTTACGTAATTTCTTTTCCTGCAATGTATCAACTCTTGCTCACTCTTAAGAAATAAAAACATCACTGTTTTTCCAACATTTGTTCTGGCTCTTAGACATATGTAGCTTTTCTCTATCTTCTCTCAACACATGGGTTTTATATTTGAGAACATGTCATGTCATAAAAGCCTGTTTTGTTTTGCTTTTCATTCTCCAAATTTTAAGCCCTTGGTTTTGTTGCACAGAAGAAATATAATTTCACCTAATCCATAGAAAATAGCAATTCACAATCTGAAATTTTGCTAAATCTATTAATGATGGTCTCTGGACCTCCAAAAGCCATACAGCAAAACAAAATTTTCTATTCACATCTGAGCCATGCTCAAAATTCAGCCTTTGACTTTTCTTCCAATGGTAATATGTTTGCTTGTGGATAGACCCTGACCCCATGAGTGTACCAGGATTTTTGTCTATCTCATGTGGCTCAGCTCAGGAAACTAGAAAGTAAAACATCAAAGGTGTTGGCATTGGAAATCACCACATTGGGGCAAGATGCCGTGAGACTCCACCTGTCCAGAAACAGCTCCCCACCTGATCACAAAGGAAGCACTTTCTTTCTGGTTCTTCGACCACAGGATAGTCTACAAGATATTTTTAGAATCATTAGCTCTTTTTTTAAAGCCACTTGACAAAAACAAAACAACAGATATTTATTGGAGATATTCCCAGAAATAGCTGGACATCAGAAATATCAAAAACAGGTAGAGCTATTTCCAGAAAACTCTCAGATACTACATTGTTTTTTTTCCATTTTTTTATTGAAATTATTGGAGTGATATTGGTTAACAAAATTACACAGGTTTCAGGTGCACAATTACATCACACATCACCTGTACACTGTATTGTGTGTTCA